CAGCATTCCAACACAGCTGTCCATCATCCAGCATTCCAACACAGCTGTCCATCATCCACTGTTCCAACACAGCTGTCCAGTCATCCAGCGTTCCAGCACAGCTGTCCATCATCCAGCGTTCCAGCACAGCTGTCCATCATCCAGCGTTCCAGCACAGCTGTCCATCATCCAGCATTCCAACACAGCTGTCCATCATCCAGCATTCCAACACAGCCGTCCATCATCCAGCGTTCCAGCACAGCCGTCCATCATCCAGCGTTCCAGCACAGCCGTCCATCATCCAGCGTTCCAGCACAGCTGTCCATCATCCAGTGTTCCAACACAGCTGTCCATCATCCACTGTTCCAACACAGCTGTCCATCATCCAGCGTTCCAACACAGCTGTCCATCATCCAGCGTTCCAGCACAGCTGTCCATCATCCAGCGTTCCAGCACAGCTGTCCATCATCCAGCGTTCCAGCACAGCTGTCCATCATCCAGCATTCCAACACAGCTGTCCATCATCCAGTGTTCCAACACAGCTGTCCATCATCCAGTGTTCCAACACAGCTGTCCATCATCCACTGTTCCAAAAGAGCTGTCCATCATCCACTGTTCCAACACAGCTGTCCATCATCCACTGTTCCAACACAGCTGTCCATCTTCCAGTGTTCCAACACAGCTGTCCATCATCCAGCGTTCCAACACAGCTGTCCATCATCCAGCGTTCCAGCACAGCTGTCTATCATCCAGCGTTCCAGCACAGCTGTCCATCATCCAGCGTTCCAACACAGCTGTCCATCATCCAGTGTTCCAACACAGCTGTCCATCATCCACTGTTCCAACAGAGCTGTCCATCATCCAGTGTTCCAACACAGCTGTCCATCATCCAGTGTTCCAACACAGCTGTCCATCATCCACTGTTCCAACAGAGCTGTCCATCATCCAGTGTTCCAACACAGCTGTCCATCATCCACTGTTCCAACAGAGCTGTCCATCATCCACTGTTCCAACAGAGCTGTCCATCATCCAGTGTTCCAACACAGCTGTCCATCATACACTGTTCCAACAGAGCTGTCCATCATCCAGTGTTCCAACACAGCTGTCCATCATACACTGTTCCAACACAGCTGTCCATCATCCACTGTTCCAACACAGCTGTCCATCATCCAGCGTTCCAGCACAGCTGTCCATCATCCAGCGTTCCAACACAGCTGTCCATCATCCACTGTTCCAACACAGCTGTCCATCATCCACTGTTCCAACACAGCTGTCCATCATCCAGCGTTCCAGCACAGCTGTCCATCATCCAGCGTTCCAGCACAGCTGTCCATCATCCACTGTTCCAACACAGCTGTCCATCATACACTGTTCCAACACAGCTGTCCATCATCCAGTGTTCCAACACAGCTGTCCATCATCCAGCGTTCCAACACAGCTGTCCATCATCCAGCATTCCAGCACAGCTGTCCATCATCCAGCGTTCCAGCACAGCTGTCCATCATCCAGCGTTCCAGCACAGCTGTCCATCATCCAGCGTTCCAGCACAGCTGTCCATCATCCAGCGTTCCAGCACAGCTGTCCATCATCCACTGTTCCAGCACAGCTGTCCATCATCCAGCGTTCCAGCACAGCTGTCCATCATCCAGCGTTCCAGCACAGCTGTCCATCATCCAGCGTTCCAGCACAGCTGTCCATCATCCAGCGTTCCAGCACAGCTGTCCATCATCCAGCGTTCCAGCACAGCTGTCCATCATCCAGCGTTCCAGCACAGCTGTCCATCATCCAGCGTTCCAACACAGCTGTCCATCACACAATGTTCCAACACAGCTGTCCATCATCCACTGTTCCATCATCCAGCGTTCCAGCACAGCTGTCCATCATCCAGCGTTCCAGCACAGCTGTCCATCATCCAGCGTTCCAACACAGCTGTCCATCACACAATGTTCCAACACAGCTGTCCATCATCCACTGTTCCATCATCCAGCGTTCCAACACAGCTGTCCATCATCCAGCGTTCCAGCACAGCTGTCCATCATCCAGCGTTCCAGCACAGCTGTCCATCATCCACTGTTCCAACAGAGCTGTCCATCATCCACATGCTGCAACTTCATTACCTCCCAAGGATGAAAGAAAGCGTTACTCGTGTTTAATAGAGCCTTTTCCCACCGGGTAAAAGCCGGTTTAATAATCACCTCCCATTGGCAATAAAAGTCAGTCTGAACCCCGCTGGCAGCTCCCTGGCCTCTGTCCCACTGTTGCTGCCTCTCGGTGACATCATTAGCATTGATGACCAGTGTACCAGTCCAACGGAAATGTTTAGCATTTAGCAGAGTCATTAGATCAGACGCACCTGCTGTGATGTTGTGACGTACACACGTTGTGCTAAATGGTATCACGTAAATTCGCAGGTCAAACTTTGTCTGTTGTTCCCATAGCATGCCGATCGGAACTCGGGCGATTTTAACCCGGGTCGCTGTCCGAGTCGTTTCAAACAGGTAACTTGCAATGTCGTTTAACCCCAGGTCGCTTAATGAGTCATTTGACCTGGGTATCTCTCCGAGTTGTTTAACCCAGGTCGCTACCAGAATTGTTTAACCCGGGACGCTCTCCAAGTTATTCAACCCTAGTCGCTCTCCGAGTTGTTTAACCCTGGTCACTTGCCTTATCGTTTCACCCGGCTCACTTGTCGAGTCGTTTGACCCAGGTAACTTGCAGAGTCGTCTGAACCGGGTCGCTTTATGAGTCGTTTGGCCCGGGCCGCTTTAACCTGGTCGTTTAACCTGGGTTGCCTAATGAGTTGTTTGACCCGGGTTGCTCTCCAAGTTGTAAGAAGCGCGATGACACGGGTCAGTGAGCCGTTCCCTCTGCCTTTAAAAGCGATTGTTTCCGGGTGTAAACAGGTTCTTTGCCTACTGAGACGCCTTTGAGAGAACATTTCTGTCTAGCTCCAAGGACGCTGCTGCTTTTAATTGGCGTCTCTAACTTTTACTGAATGCTGACCTCGAACATCATTAAGGTCACATAATGAGAACTAGGACTCTGGGATTTAAAATTAAAGGAATGTTGGCGCCGTTATCAAAGGATTGCAAAAGGCAGCCAAAGAAAATACCTGTCGGGTTTGATTGTATCAAATAGTCAGAATCCTGCTATCCTATTTAAAATTATTAACTCTGTTCTAAATGATTCACATAGTGGCTTTATGGAGACCTCACCTGCTGCATGTGAAAACTTCTGACACTTTTTTGATGAGAAAGTTGCTTCTATTAGGGCCCAGATTATCCCTCTTCTTATGATCCTTCAGTTGCGTTGCCTTGTTCTGGTGTTTTCCACAGCTTTGAATGTGTGAACTTGCAATTATTGCAGGAGGTGGTTAATCACTTAAGGCCAACTGGTTCTCCAGATGATGTTATTTGGCCCCAATTATTTAAAGAAGCTTTCTCTGCTATAGGTCCTTCTGTCCTTGCTCTTGTAAATAGTAGCTTGTCCTCAGGCGTTGTTCCTAAAGCTCTGAAACATGCAGTTCTGCAGCCTCTACTTAAGAAACCAGCTTTGGATCCTACTGTTCTGGCAAATTATCGACCTATCTCTAAATTGCCTTTTATTTAAAAAATTCTTGAGAAGGTAGTCTGTAATCAGCTAATGGCTTATCTTAATGAACATAATATATTAGAGGTTTTTCAGTTTTTAATGATATACTTTTAGCAACTTATTCAGGTGACGTTGTTGTTTTGGTGCTGTTGGATTTATCATCTGCTTCTGATACAGTTGATGATGTCATTTTACTTTCCCGTCTGGAACAGTGGGTGGGCATCGGTCACATAGCTCTAGATTGGTTTAGATCGTATTTGGCTGAACGTACTTTTTGTGTCTGTCTTGATGGCCATAGGTCCCCCTCTGCTCCACTGTGGTGTGGTGTCCCACAGGGCTCAGTTCTAGGCCCGCTCCTTTTCTTACTTTACCTTCTTCCGCTCGGCTCTATTTTTAGATAACATGGGATTGCCTTTCACTGCTATGCAGATGACACACAGATATACTTACCGCTAAAGAATGTAAACTCCACCTCTCTTCAGTCTCTGTTTTTATGTCTTGAAGATGTGAAGGCTTGGGTGGCCCTAAATTTTTTAAAACTCAATGAGGACAAGACGGACGTAATGATCTTTGGCAGATCCACTGCTGATTCCGTGACTAGTCTTGGCTCCTTGGCTCAGTACGTTAAGCCGGTTATTACAAATTTAGGGGTTAAGATGGATGCTGGTCTTAAAATGGAATTGCACATCAGAGCCGTTATAAAGTCCAGCTTTTTCCACTTAAGGCAGCTAGCAAAAGTAAAACCCATTCTTTCCAGACAGCATTTCGAAACAGTGATCCATGCATTTGTGACGACACGGCTGGATTACTGTAACTCACTTTATACAGGGGTCAGTGACTTGTATATTTCTCATCTTCAGAGGGTTCAAAATGCTGCTGCACGTCTTTTAACAGGTACACGAAAATTCGACCACATTTCCCCTGTTTTAGCTTCCTTACACTGGCTGCCAGTACATTTTAGGATTGATTTTAAAATTCTTTTATTTGTTTTTAAAACTCTTAATGGCCTCGCCCCTCCTTATCTGTCTTAGCTGTTGCATTCTTACACCCCTCCCGTTCCCTCAGGTCAGCTGATCAGTTGCTTCTGAGGGTCCCAAAGACAAAATGCAGCTCAGAGGAGACCGTGCTTTTTCTGTGGCAGCTCCTAAGCTGTGGAACGATCTGCCTCTGAGCAGAAGACAGGCCTCTTCTCTGGCTGTTTTTAAGTCCCTTCTTAAGACTCATATTTTTTCCTTGGCTTTTGGCACAATTTGAGAGGTTTTACTTTGTTTTATTCTTTTTGTATACTAATATGTATTTTACACTCGTTTTTTCTCTATTTTATAATTTTATTGTATTTTATGATTGTGTATAGCACTTTGGTCCTGTTCGGTGTATAAAGTGCTTCATAAATAAAGTTGGTATGGTATGGTATGGTATCTACTGCTTACCCCTGGACACCCCCATGTTGGGTCCCATCTTCAGTCGTGGATGGATGTGGATGACTGTGCTCCACACCACGTCACAGGCAAAGTGTCCAGGGATGAAGTGCATGGTGGCAGCCAGGTAGTCTCTGGCCTGGTAGCTCTCCTCTGTACCATAGTCTGACGGTTCAGAGGAGACAGAGGGAGATATTACAGCTTCAAGAAGCAAAGGATCACAGGAACCGCCCCATCCCCACCTCACCATCAGAGGTGTTCTGCCTCTGCCTGAAGAGGGAGTCATTCTTCCAGATGTCCTCCTCGCTCTCAGCCACCAGCAGCGTGTGACAGATATGGCTGTCATGCAGGTCTTGGAGCAGCATGCGCTAAAACACATCAACAACCAGAAAGGCAGAATTCTGTGTTACTGAAGGCATGTCATGAACTTCAACATTCAAGCAGCGTCCAGGAAGCATGCACCAAAATGGCCACCTGGTTGACGACGCGGCACACTTCGCCGATCCTCCTGACCATGGTCTGATGCAGCTCCAGGAACTCCGGAAGCTCCTGCTCCTCCTCTTTCCCGCCTAGCTCCTCAGCACACAGCTGTTTGCCTTCGCTCATCGACCTGCACCAAAGTAATCCAGACAAACACGCATATGGAGTCAGAAAGGGATCAAAATGAGTTTAGATTAAATTCTTACTATCTTATGTTTGCTTTTTTTAGTTTCTCACATTATAAGGTAGAAATTTCACATTAAATATCAACTTCTATTTTTTCAGTTTCAACTTTTTTTTTCAGTTTCAACTAAGTAAGAAGTTTACAAACATTTTGACTCCATACACGCGGTTCATCTCAATCTCTATAGAATATAACCGAGTCAAATGGAAACCAGCATCTTCAGAGGAGGATGTGTTCTGACCTGGCATGGGAATAGACCTTCACTCGGTCCAGATGGATCCTGACGATGAGCCAGAAGTCTGGCATTGAAGGGGAGCGGGCCTCCTGCTCGTCAGAGGTTGGACTCTCACACTCTGAGTCGCTGCTGCCGCCATCGTAGCCTTCATCAAAGACAACAGCGGCGTTCATGCAGTGGAGGTTTTCTGCTCTAAATGATCATGTTTGAAGCTAAAGCTAACAGCGAAGCCTGACATGCATCCCTTGTGCTCCGTAACAGCTGAAATAAACAAACTGCACTTACCCTGCATGTCTGAGTCCAGACTTCCCTGGCTGGACACGACGCTCTGGACACGACTGGGCCTGGTTCTGCTGCAGCCTGGGGAAACATGTTATCGGCTCACTATGATCAAAGTGGAAATGTCATCGAGATGAAAAACCGAAGAAGCACCCAGGGGGTCAGAAAGCCCCCCTCCTCCCAGTTTGATCGCTCCAAACCGCTGACCGTACCAAGAGCAAACGGATCATCCTCTGGAGAGGTTCTTCACTAAACCCGCCATGGATCTGGAACCATGGCCCGTACCAAAGTTTGGACTGGGATGTGTAATTGGGAGGATTTGTTACTGGGAAATGTGGGAAAATGTTGCTCTTCTGTGATGCCACACTTTTTATCAGCTAGAGATGGACCATCAGGTGGGATCCACTGACGCTCTGAACGTCTGTCAGCAGGTGAGGAGAGCAGAACCAGCGGCTGGACACCAGAAGGAAGGCCGTGGTTCTGCTCAGGGATGACGCCATACATTTCATTTCCGACTGTACGGATAATGACCCGATTCCAGACCAACACTGATCGTAATTTCATACTTGTTTAGTGGAATGTTAAAATAATGGTTGATCAGGTGATTTTATTAAACAACTGACAGTATTAACAGATACTATGGTAATGCGTTACCTTTTTTCTACAGACGAGTCGCCCAGTATTTCTAAGGATTCTCAGCAAAATCCCAGTTCGAGCAAATTAGGAGGCAAAACCGATGATGTCGACCCGTTGGTAGGGTTTAAACAAGTTTCCACAATAATAGCAATAATAGTTAAAAACTATTTTTTATTTCATGGAAATGTGACTATTTTCTTCTATAGCACCTCATTTTTCTTGTATAATAAACAAGAAGCATCCTCACATCTAAGTAATTATATTACAGCTCACTTATCAAACACGAAACAGTGAAGATTATTTTTTAATGTTTTCAGATGTCTATACTTTTCAAATGATTAATTAACTTATTAATTAACAATCATCCTATAATTAACACATTAGCAACCATCTTGTATTACATAAATTATGCTCTACTCTTATTTAAAATTCAAAAAGGAACGTTTTCAAAACATTCTTTGAAATTCTAAAACATGAAAAATGTAAATACATAGTTAACTTGGCTACCAACTAGTTAATTTGGCTAATAACTCGTTGCTTTGGATACTAACCAGTTGTTTTGGCTAGTAACTAGTTACTCTGGCTAGTTACTGGTTACTTTGGCTAGTAACTAGTTACTTTGTCTGGTAACTAGTTAGTTTGGCTATTAACTAGTTGATTTGGCTAGTAACTAGTTACTCTGGCTAGTTACTTTTACTGAGCAGTTACTAACTCAGTAACTTTTTAGAGAGGTAACTAGTAACTAACCTGATTAAGGTAATGTTGGCACCTCTGACGACGGACCCACTGATTATAACAACAGTAAACGGAAGCATTGTGTTTCTATAAAGAAAATATCTACCGGTATCTAATTTCTATCACCATGAAAATATCTGAAGCCCAAACAGTCGATTTAAGTGTTTTTCCCTGAGATCAAACTAATATCGATATTGGATCAGGAAATGCTCCACACAGCATTCAGACCTTCATGGCTGAGGTCTGAAGGCATCTAAACGTGTCTGACACTCACTGTGAGAGGACTCGGCCAGGCTAACGCTGGAGGCCGTCTTTGGGGGAGAAGTGGACTCGGGCTGGGGGGGGCTCGAGCTCGCCACGTCTGCCGAGTCCAGCTTCTTGGCTCCAGCCGTTTCTCCAGCCTCTGATGTAGCAGCAGTAGAAGGCTCCCTGAAAGGATCTGCATGAAGATGGAAGGCAGCCTGAAGATGAACACAGACACTGTTAGAGCTTCATCTTGCGTTCAACCTGAGCATTTCATCCAGACACGGCTGCAGCTCTGAATTAATGGACTCTGAGGAGGATGGAAAGCAGGGCTGGGCGATATGACCTCAAATTGACATCAGGATGAACTGGGCAGTTTTACCATGACGATAAATGCTCAAACTCCTCTATCAGAAACAAAGACGTGCAGAAAATGCAACTGATCTATTTATTATTTATTTATTGAATAAATCACATTACATATAACTCTCAATTAAATATTAAAGTCTTGAGCCCATTCAGCTTTAACATTCAACAATGCCTCATTGAATAGCAGAAAAAAATTTTTGCTCAAAGGTAATGGAGCCTTTTGCACATCTCTGAACTCCACAGCGTGGCTGTACTGCAAGAGGCTGGATGTGTTACTTTGGGTCCCCTCAGTCTGCAGACTAAATTTGCATTTCATGTTGTTTTGTTCAATCCTCTGGTAAAGGCTCCTTCTGATCCAATACCCTAAAAGAGTCCTCTAAGAAACGCTCTTCATGTTCCACCACCCTAAAAGAGTCCTCTAAGAAACGCTCTTCATGTTCCACTACCCTTAACGAGTCATCTGGTAAAGGCTCCTCCTGTTCCACCACCCTAAACGAGTTGTTTGGTAAAGGCTCCTCCTGTTCCAACACCCTAAACGAGTTGTTTGGTAAAGGCTCCTCCTGTTCCACCACCCTAAAAGAGTCCTCTAAGAAACGCTCTTCATGTTCCACTACCCTAAACGAGTCATCTGGTAAAGGCTCCTCCTGTTCCAACACCCTAAAAGAGTTGTCTGCTAAAGGCTCCTTCTGTTCCAACACCCTAAACGAGTCCTCTAAGAAACGCTCCTCCTGTTCCACCACCCTAAACGAGTTGTTTGGTAAAGGCTCCTCCTGTTCCACCACCCTAAACGAGTTGTTTGGTAAAGGCTCCTCCTGTTCCACCACCCTAAACGAGTTGTTTGGTAAAGGCTCCTCCTGTTCCACCACCCTAAACGAGTTGTCTGCTAAAGGCTCCTTCTGTTCCAACACCCTAAACGAGTCCTCTAAGAAACGCTCCTCCTGTTCCACCACCCTAAACGAGTTGTTTGGTAAAGGCTCCTCCTGTTCCACCACCCTAAACGAGTTGTTTGGTAAAGGCTCCTCCTGTTCCACCACCCTAAACGAGTTGTCTGGTAAAGGCTCCTTCTGTTCCAACACCCTAAACGAGTCCTCTAAGAAACGCTCTTCATGTTCCACTACCCTAAACGAGTCGTCTGGTAAAGGCTCCTCCTGTTCCACCACCCTAAACGAGTCGTCTGGTAAAGGCTCCTCCTGGTCCAACACCCTAAACGAGTTGTCTGGTAAAGGCTCCTCCTGTTCCACCACCCTAAACGAGTCGTCTGGTAAAGGATCCTCCTGGTCCAACACCCTAAACGAGTTGTCTGGTAAAGGCTCCTCCTGTTCCACCACCCTAAACAAGTCCTCTAAGAACGCTCTTCATGTTCCACCACCCTAAAAGAGTCCTCTAAGAAACGCCCTTCATGTTCTACTATCCTAAACAAGTCGTCTGATAAAGGATCCTCCTGGTCCAACACCCTAAACGAGTTGTCTGGTAAAGGCTCCTCCTGTTCCACCACCCTAAACAAGTCCTCTAAGAACGCTCTTCATGTTCCACCACCCTAAAAGAGTCCTCTAAGAAACGCCCTTCATGTTCTACTATCCTAAACAAGTCGTCTGATAAAGGATCCTCCTATTCCACCACCCTAAACGAGTCGTCTGGTAAAGGCTCCTCCTGGTCCAACACCCCAAATGAGTCATCTGGTAAAGGCTCCTCCTGTTCCACTATCCTGAACAAGTCCTCTAAGAAACGCTCTTCATGTTCCACCACCCTTAAAGAGTCGTCTGGTAAAGGCTCCTCCTGTTCCCTGACCTGTAGGAATCAGCTTAGTTCTAGACATAAAACAATTAATAAATGGTTCACACCAAGAGGACAAACTGGGAGAAGAAGAGTGGAACCTGACCTGCCGGATGTTCCCAGCTTCTGGTTCTCTGTCCAGCATCAGAGGCTCCATGTGTTCTTCAGGGTCCTGTGGGGGTGTGGTGGTGGTTTGGGACAACCTGTGGTTGGCCTGGATCCTCTTTGGGTGGTGTCTGCTCAGGGACATGTAGTAGAAGTTGTCCTCCACTCCATTCAGAATGTAACCAGAGAACGACAATCTGGAGAACTCCTGCAGAATCACAACAACCAATCAGACATTCACCCATTGGCTCACCATTTCACTGAGGGAACCTGCAGAGAACCTGAAGGACCACGTTCTATAACCACATTCTCTAATTGAAGGAACGGTGTTCTATAACCACGTTCTCTGCCTGAAGGAACAGCGTTCTATAACCACGTTCTCTGCCTGAAGGAACGGCGTTCTATAACCACGTTCTCTGCCTGAAGGAACGACGTTCTTCAATGGCGTTCTCTGCCTGAAGGAACGGCGTTCTATAACCATGTTCTCTGCCTGAAGGAACAACGTTCTTCAATGACGTTCTCTGCCTGAAGGAACGACGTTCTATAACCACGTTCTCTGCCTGAAGGAACCACGTTCTATAACCACGTTCTCTGCCTGAAGGAACAACGTTCTTCAATGACGTTCTCTGCCTGAAGGAACAACGTTCTTCATTGACGTTCTCTGTCTGAAGGAACGACGTTCTATAACCACGTTCTCTGCCTGAAGGAACCACGTTCTATAACCACGTTCTCTGCCTGAAGGAACGGCGTTCTTCAATGACGTTCTCTGCCTGAAGGAACGACGTTCTATAACCACGTTCTCTGCCTGAAGGAACCACGTTCTATAACCACGTTCTCTGCCTGAAGGAACAACGTTCTTCAATGACGTTCTCTGCCTGAAGGAACAACGTTCTTCATTGACGTTCTCTGTCTGAAGGAACGACGTTCTATAACCACTTTCTCTGCCTGAAGGAACCACGTTCTATAACCACGTTCTCTGCCTGAAGGAACGGCGTTCTTCAATGACGTTCTCTGCCTGAAGGAACGACGTTCTATAACCACGTTCTCTGCCTGAAGGAACCACGTTCTATAACCACGTTCTCTAATTGAAAGAACCATGTTCTATAACCACGTTCTATAATTGAAAGTGCCACATTCTATAACCACATTCTCTAATTGAAGGAACCACGTTCTCTGCCTGAAGGAACAACGTTCAATGACGTTCTCTGCTTGAAGGAACGACGTTCTATAACCACGTTCTCTGCCTGAAGGAACCACATTCTATAACCACGTTCTCTATTTAAAAGTACCACATTCTATAACCACAGTCTCTTTTTGAAGGAACCACGTTCTCTAATTGAAGGAACCACGTTCTATAACAACGTTCTCTGCCTGAAGGAACAGCGTTCTATAACCACGTTCTCTAATGGAAAGATCCATGTTCTATAATCACGTTCTATAATCCCTCTGTGTGAGGGAACCACGTTCTTCACGCTGAATGCGTGTTCTCTGTGTGTTCTCTAAGCTTGTGGCCCTTCTAGTGATGAAGGCCTGATTTGCTGAATTGTCCCACAGCAGCTCCCATAGCATCATTCCTGGTGGGCGGGGTCTAACCTCTTTGAACTTTTCCAGTGACTGTTCTGGCCCAAAGACAAACTGCAGGGGAACCTCCTCACAGTGGCAGTGCGGCCGTCCGTTGGACTGGAACACATGCTCGGCCACTTTATTCAGGGTTGCCGAGGCGATGACCCGGGAGTGACGCAGAGCGGAAACGATTTCGTCCTCCAGCAGCCAGCGGATCTGAAGCACATGGAAGACATGGATCCGGTTCTAATCAGGACCGGCTGTCAAGCAGACTAGTACAGCTTTGGTCAGCTGGATCAGACGGAACCAGCCCAACAGAACCAGCCTGCTAAACAGAGGAGCAGAACTCACCTCATCCAGCGTGGACAGAACCGCCAGTCTGTGGGTAAGTGGGAACTTAGACAAGGGATCCCCAGAGACTCTGGAGGAGACAGAACATGAGCTTCACGGATCAGAACCTGAATATGTCTGAACGGCATTGTGTCAGCACGCACCTCTCTGTTCCAGACCCTCTGAGGCCGTCCAGCGCCGCCATCTGCTCGTCATCAGAGCGGTAAGAGGAGGGCAGGCCCGGAGATCGGCTCAGGGAGACGCTGCTCTCTGAGGTGTACCTGGAGGGGGAGGATGCTGCGGCTGAGATGCTCCTCACTGGGTCAGAACCGGGCCGTTCAGTAGAACATTACCTGTTGTGGTGGTAATCGGCCATGAGCTCTATCTCCAGGGGAAGGGTCAAAACGAACACGTCCAGGGTCACTGAGAGCTCCGTCAGGTCCACCATCTGGAGGTGCTCTGGGTTCTCCAAGCAGGACATGATCTGCCCTGAAAGCAGAACGACAGACAGAACCAGTGACTCTGAAGGTTCTACCCCTACTGTGTTAACACCATTACATAGATTACAGGCATGTCTGAAGACATAAAAACCTGGATGACTCTTAACTTTCTGCTTCTGAATGCAGACAAAACAGAAGTTATAGTCTTTGGACCAGAAGCTGATTAGTCAGTCACTTCATTTGGATGGGATTAAACTGATTTCAGATAATAAAGTAAAAAATCTTGGTGTTGTTTTTGATCAGGACCTGTCATTTAAATCCCAGATCAAAGAGGTTTCTAGAATTTCCTTCTTTCATCTGAGGAATATTGCAAAAATTAGAAATCTCCTGTCCAGGCGTGATGGTGAGAAACTAGTCCATGCATTTGTTACTTCAAGGCTGGACTATTGTAGCCTGACGTAGTCCTACTCAATTCTAGTCAGAATGAGTCTGATGCTGCTCCATAGAGCTGTGATTATGGGGCGTGTTTTGAACGAACCAGGAAAAAAAATGCCTCTGCACTCAATTGGATAGACCTACAACCAATAACAGCAACGGAGTGCGTGACGTATGTTAAGCGACGCATAGTTGTTGTCAACGAAAATCAAAGCGTGCAGTTGCACGCCTAGAATAAGAAGATGAGCCTTGATGGCGTTTCTCTGTTCCTCTTTTAAAATTAATTTGCTGTCGATATCTTCTAGAACAGACCTAATAGCAGAATCTACTCACCTCAACTCTCCAGCGGCAGCCATTGTTGTTGTCACCCAAGCGCGCTTTGGTCACATGGTTGATTACGTTACAGTTGATCATCTGTCCATCATCGTATAAAGCCCGCCCTGACAATTTGATTGGCCCGCCAGATAATGTGCGAGCATACTCCCGCTACTATTGAGCAATGCCAGACCGAACTTCCCGACCTCAAAAGTTGTGGGCGGGACTAAGTTTGGAATGGCACCCAGGCTAGGACTATTGTAATTCTTTACTATCAGGAAGTCCACAAACTGTAGTTAAAAGCCTTCAGCTGATCCAAAATGCTGCAGCCAGAGTTCTGATGAAAATGAAAAAGAGAGATCATATCTCTCCTATCCTGGCTTCTCTTCATTGGCTTCCTGTTAAATCCAGAATAGAATTTAAAATCCTCCTTCTCACATATAAAGCCTTAAATGGCCAAGCTCCATCTGATATCAGAGATCTGATTGTTCCTTATGTTCCTAACAGAGCACTTCGCTCTCAATCTGCAGGTTTACTAGTGGTTCCTAGAGTTTCTAAAAGTAGAATGGGAGGCAGATCTTTTAGTTCTCAGGCTCCTCTCCTGTGGAACCAGCTACCAGTTTTAGTCCGTGAGGCAGACACCCTGTCTACTTTTAAGGCTAGGCTTAAAACGTTCCTTTTTGATAAAGCTTCTAGTTAGAGTGGCTCAGGTTATCCTGAGCTATCTCTATAGTTCTGCTGCTATAGGCTTAGACTGCTGGAGGACATAGGGACCCCTTTTTCATCATTCTGCTTCATTCTATCTCTATTCTCCCACTCTGCAGAATCTGTTAGTTCAATCTCTAACGTTCTGCTCTCTCTGCTTTTTCTCATAGTAGCTTCATCTGGTCTGTTCCTGTTTGGCTGTGACTCCATCCTGGAGAGAAATATCAGCTGTGCTGCTGCCATCAACACCTTTGTTTCTAGATGTTGGAGCTTGGCCTGTTTTCCAGTGTAGTTCTGTTTCTCTGACTGTGACTAACTGGATGTGCTCTCTTTCATCTTATTCACCACCTACTCTGAGGTTCTGAAGGTTCTACCCCTGTTTGCTTTGAAGTTCATCAGCCAATCAGACTCCGGAGAGCCTGGCCTGGTCCCCATCACAGAGACCGACCCATCAGAACCTTACCACCCCAAAGGAGGTCAGAACCACAGTAGACCTGTAGAAGAAAACAGGCTCTGAAGGAACAAGGGCCTCTGGGCAAAGATCTGCTACAGATCTACAGATGTATAGATTATAGACCAATAATCTATAAATCATGGATCTATAATCTATATATCCATAGATTTACAATCTAGAGATCATAGATCCATAGTCCATAAATGATAGATCCTTAATCTCTAGATCCTTGGAAATCTGGATCATAGATTTATATATCATAGATCCATAATCTATAGACGATATATCTACAGCCCTAAATCTATAATCTATCTATGGATCTACAATCTATAGACCATACCTCTATGGCTCCATAGATATGGACCTATGACCCATGGGTTATAGATGGGGGCGGGGTGACTCACCGAGGCATGTGGGGAGGGTCCGGGTGGGGGTGGATCCATGGCCGCCGTTCATGTTAACTGAACACGTGACATGGAGGAAGAGCGGGGGCAGGTCTGGAACCAGAACCTCGGCCTCCAGTAGAGACTCTCCGTCCAGGATGCTGAAGGAGTCCTGGTCCTGGTTGACCGTGTTGGAGTCCGACTGGGAGCTGGTTCCTGCCTGCTCCTCGTACGCCACCTCCAGGTCCGGGTCGCTCTCCAGCAAACAGGAGCCGCATGCGTTCTCTAGAACCACAGAATTACAAGGTCATCCCCATGGCAACGCCTGCTGTGTGATCTCAGACAGGACCTGATTCTGGACGAAGACGGAGCAGAACCACCCTGGACCCATTTCCTCCTGACTGGTCCTGCTGAGGCCAGGACCAGTCAGGAGGAAATGGGCCGGTTGGTTTGGACCTTCATCTGTTCCAGAACATCAAAGCATCATCATTTCGCATGTGAGCTACAGGAAGAAAAGCCCTGTCGGTCTGGTCCAGGTCCAGAACCGACTGGACTGCTACAGAACCTCACCTTCCTCACTGGTGGGCTCGGCGTCTGATGTCGGCTCCTCGCTGGGCGTCCTCTCATGGCCACCGTCCTCAGAGTCCACCTGGGCGGAAGAGAAAATGGTCATCCTGCAGATCCCCGGCAGAACTGTGGTCCTGATCTCAGCTGGGTTAGCAGGTCCGGTTCTACGGTTGACTGGATCTCACTCACCTCCTTCTGGGCCGACAGAGGACAATAGAAGTAGTAGTGCGGGTTGGACGGGACGCTCTTAAAGTGCTGAGACAGGATCCTCAAAAACTTCTCCTGTAAAGACATTAGTCCAACAGTGAGTGGTCCAGAACCATTCGGACCAGGCCTAAAGCCCATTTCAGATGGGATCTGGACAGAACCATGCTCCACCTGAGGAAGGTCATTACGTGTGGAACCTCAAAGCTGCTTACCCCGTCCCGTCCAGAACTCAGAGGACCCAGAGGTCTGGTTCTGGACAGGACGCATTCCCTGCACAGCATCAGGGCAAAGGAGCAGGTTTTTGTTCCAATCCTCTAAAGTCTGTGACATGTAAAGACTCACCTGAATGATTTTGTGCAGGTCTGGGTACACGTCACACCTAGGTTCCGTCTGCAGCAGGGTCAGAGGAAAGGCTGGGAGTTTGGGATCATCCTGGTTCTGCTGGGAAGCCTTCCCTTTAGATTCACCTTCAGAACTGTCTTCAACTTCACTGCTGCTGAGCGGATAAAAAAAACAGTGGATTCAGCTACGGTCAGACTGGGAACGATTTTCAGCCCTGGCATTTTTTCATTTACACTTTACATTTACTGGCTTTAGTTGCTGCTGCTGCGTGACGTCCCCGCTCGCACGACGCCAGCCAGACACCCACTCACACATACTAGGTCTACAACATTAGCCCAAGTGTTTAAAATCACCAACATAACACAATGCAATACAGAGGCAGACAGGCGGTTCTTCAAGAATGAATCCATGAAAGCTCAGCGGTGTGTCAGCGTTCACTGCCAGTCTAGGTGGCATGTTGGCAATGAAATGGAATAATGTAAACAGATGCAAAAACCCCATCATGCACTGCAACATACAGCCTGCACCAAACATAAGCTGCTCGATAGATGGCCTGACCGTGAACATCAGGTCTTCATTATGGAAAAACCCAATACTGCTACTACCCTTTCTATCTAACCCTGGTCCTGCATGCAAGCTGCTTTGTGTCTTACAGGCTTTTTTCAGCTGTTTATCGATGGTTCTGCTGAATTTAAGCAACTCGACCAAGGGGTGGTAAAGCAGGAAACCTCTAAAATGCAGGGCAGAGATGCTGGGGACTGCCACTATCAGAGCTCACCTGCAGGAGTTGGCTACGCCTGTGCTGGTTTTAGTGGGCATCTCGTCCACCGGTCCGATACTGAAGGAAGGCATTCTTCTAAGCTGTGGACCTCCTCCAGGTCTCTGAGTCCTGCTTCTCTCCTTAAAGCCCCTGATGTGACCACATAGAGTCTGAAGGAAAGCCGTGATGTCGATCTCCTGAAGAGACTCTTCACAGTAGTCCATGGCCAGGAGGATGTCTGGGGAGCTGATGCTGCAGGCCTGCTGCAGGCTGCGGTACACACCTGAGACACAAAGGCTCCATCAATCACTGAGTTCCAGTTAGACCAAACACCCTGGAACCAGCTGAAATGTTCTGGTTAACAGTCTGGGTTTCAGCCCAGAGGCAAGCAGCCAAAGGTCCCATAAAACTACACATCCAGCCTGTGGACAGGACTCACCTCTAACATAACTCTGGTGGTAGTGCTCCTGCAGCAGGCTGCAGTAGTTGGCCAGCTCCTTATGCTTCTGAGGATGAGACAGGATGTCTGTCCAGCTGGACAGACCACTGCGGTCCTGAGACAATGACCTGCAGAAGGAAAAACATCCCTAGCTGTGACATCATGTCTGAACAAAAACAGAGAAGTACTTAGAAAAGGAGACCTTCTAGCCTGGAGGGCAGAGCAGAGCTGGTCTGAACAGCTCCTTATATTGATAAAAGGTTTGAGTTCTTGAAATCCTCCTTCTCACATATAAAGCCTTAAATGGCCAAGCTCCATCTGATATCAGAGATCTGATTGTTCCTTATGTTCCTAACAGAGCACTTCGCTCTCAATCTGCAGGTTTACTAGTGGTTCCTAGAATTTCTAAAAGTAGAATGGGAGGCAGATCTTTTAGTTCTCAGGCTCCTCTCCTGTGGAACCAACTACCAGTTTTAGTCCGTGAGGCAGACACCCTGTCTACTTTTAAGACTAGGCTTAAAACTTTCCTTTTTGATAACGCTTCTAGTTAGAGTGGCTCAGGTTATCCTGATCTATCTCTATAGTTCTGCTGCTATAGGCTTAGACTGCTGGAGGACATAGGGACCCCTTTTTCTTCATTCTGCTTCATTCTATCTCTATTCTCCCACTCTGCAGAATCTGTTAGTTCAATCTCTAACGTTCTGCTCTCTCTGCTTTTTCTCATAGTAGCTTCATCTGGTCTGTTCCTGTTTGGCTGTGACTCCATCCTGGAGAGAAATATCAGCTGTGCTGCTGCCATCAACACCTTTGTTTCTAGATGTTGGAGCTTGGCCTGTTTTTTAGTATTTAGTCCTGTTTCTTTCCTATAGCTATGAGGTCAGCTTTTACTGGGACTAACTAAATGTTTTCTCTTTCATCCCTTTGACACTGAACTGGCTCAGAGCTCGTCTGATTAACCGTTAATTTCCCAGACAGAGTTACCTGTAGGGCTGGCTACCAAACAAGTTTCTTTAATTGGCGGTAACGTTAAACGTGATTGCGTCACCAGGAAAAATACATACATGATGAGGCCTACCGACGGGGTCCACGTTTGCCTCGTTGAACCGCTTAAAAATGCCACCCAGGTCAAAAGTGTGGCTTCAATTTATTAAGACAGATGCCAATAGTGCGCAATGCAATAAACGCGAAATACAAATTTTTGGTAAGGCTGGCAAAACGACTAATTTGATGAAGCACCTAATCGTGTATGGGATAAATTTAAGAGCGGAAAGTTGCTCAGTGTTTGACTGCAAGAAGAGCGGCGTGCAGCCAGCCCAACCATCCTCCTCTCAGCAGTCCATGGCCAGTAAAAAACCGGAGCGCAGTGATTTAAAATATCAACCACCGGACTCGGCACTGTGAGGACGGCGCTGTGTCTGGAATTTCAGCAGGCAAGTTAAAGTTCATTAGCGTTACTTCAACTTAACATGTGCATCGTGCTGAGTTAGCATGTAGCCTTGTTTTAATGCTGTGTAGCTAGCTAAATCAAAAGCTACCCTTTACAGACAACGATTAGCTTGTAAAAATATGTCTATGCATTGGGTCTGCTGGTTAAACAGCTAACCTTATCTTCACTGTTAGTTTTATATTCTCCTCATAGTAGCCTCTGACTGGTATCAGAAAAATATCATTCAGGATCGAAGTAAAGGTATCCGATATCGAAAACTTTTGATAGCCAGCCCTAGTTACCTGTGGAGCTAGCTTACTGTTAGCATATCTAACATAGAAATGCTTTCTAGATCAGCTCTTTATATCTCCAGTTTCATGTCTCCTTGAACCCCAGTGGGCCTCAGCAGATGGCCGCTCACACTGAGCCTGGTTCTGCTGGAGGTTTCTTACTCCACGACAGAGTTTTTCTCTCCACTGTCGCTGCATGCATGTAGCAATTCTTGCTCCTCTGGATAGTTAATAGTCCAGGATAGAAATTAACGGGATAACTGTCAGATATGCAATTTGATCCCTGCTGTATGGAGAACCGGCGTACGCTGAGGAGGCTCTGTACCTGAGGAAGATGTCCTTGGGCTGGCAGCGGGAGTTGGGGTGCACCAGTTGCTCCTTTAGGTTCTCCAGTGAGCAGTTGTACACATAAAGTGGACACCTCAACTGGCCGCTGCTGGAGGTGCTCTGCTGGGACACCTGCCTGCTGAAACCAAAGGTCAACTTTTCTTTCTTTGGTTCGGAAAATTGGACCGCTTCTTTTCCCACAGGTTCTGAAACCATTAGAATAAGGTTGATAGTTGTGGTGCAATCAGACGTTTGTTACTGCTGTCTTTGGCTCATTCTCAACCAAACCAGTATGACCAACCTGACTCCGGTGTCCCAGCCTCCACCTCTGACTGCCTGCTGTCCGCGTAAACAGGCGACAAGTCCTCAGGCTCAGTGTGACTCTCAGATGGGGATGTAATGAGGGAGGACCTGGCTGAGATGTTCCCACAGCTAGAGCTCCTGCACAGCTTAGAGACCAGGTAGGTCAGGGTGGACTCTGACCTGTCGGGTCCACTGGTGGAACCTGACAGAGAGTCTTCTTGAGACTTGTTGCTGGGAGTCAGAGTATCGTCCTCTTGTGTGCTGACCATACCTCCAGGCTCAGCTCCTGATGCCATAAGCATCAGGACATCTGAGGAGAAGATAAAACATGCTGTAAAGCCAGCTCATCATTGCTCACGACTTATCCCTAAGCTCACCTCACGTACCTGTGAAGGTAGCAGGGAGGAAGGTGAGGAAAAGCTGCTGGGAGCTGATGTACTTGGCGTAGCACCTCCACTGTGGGACAGAGGAAGCCCTCTCTCTGAACAGAGGCTCCTCATCAACAAGCTCTGCATTGCTGAAGCTCTGAAAAGCCATGTTTGGTTCACAGAGATAGACCGGTTACTACAGCAACAGCACTTTGATAATTAATCACATCATTCACAACCTACATTCAACATCAAAGTAAGTACACCATCTTTGAATCGAACAATATCATACGTTTATTTTTCAAGCTTGATGTGGAGAATCTGCAGGGGTGTTTGGGTTCTATGCCCTGTTGATCACCCTGACCCCATCCATCTATAAGGCCGGCCCTCGTTCGGGTTTGGAATACGGCTCATATATCAGGTTCTGGGCTCACGTTAACCCGTAAACCAATCCTGACTAAGCCTAGGTTAGGACAGGTGATCAACAGGGTTAGTCTTTATTTGGTTCCCTCACTGGAGGAGTTGCTTGTGCGATCTGCTAAACACTAATGTGAGCATAATGTTTCCAGTCTAGATGTTCTGGAACAACCATCAGATTTACTATTCATCTACTAGAATGCTGAGCTAGCTCCAACAGTGTTCTCCCTCTGATGTGTTTTACTAGCTGGTTATCAGATTGCTACTGTCGAGCTACTCCTACTCCCAGTCTGATTCATAATAACTCAGAACCACCTGATACGTCCTGATAATACAAAATGACATGAAATCAATATATCAATGCCTTTAGGTCAGTTCATCCAGACAAACTGGTTTAAAGCTACCTCTTACTCTGCTGATTGCACACAGTCACTGACATCAAAACTTGCTTTATCAGTTCTCAGTTCTAAGAGGGAAAAATCTGTAAACATCTCTTTATCATATTTAGCACGAATTACTACAGTTGGCAATATCTCTAAACTGCTCTGGTGACGAGTTACACAGTGTAACAGCTCAGATGGCGTTTTGCACAGCGTAACAGCTCAGGTGGCGTGTTGCACAACGTAACAGCTCAGATGGCGTGTTGCACAGCGTAACAGCTCAGATGCCGTGTTGCACAGCGTAACAGCTCAGATGGCGTGTTGCACAGTGTAACAGCTCAGATGGTGTGTTGCACAGCGTAACAGCTCAGATGGTGTGTTGCACAACGTAACAGCTCAGGTGGCGTGTTGCACAGCGTAACAGCTCAGATGGCATGTTGCAAAGAGTAACAGCTCAGATGGTGTGTTGCACAGCGTAACAGCTCAGATGGTGTGTTGCACAACGTAACAGCTCAGATGGCGTGTTGCATTACGTAACAGCTCAGATGACATGTTGCACAGCGTAACAGCTCAGATGGTGTGTTGCACAATGTAACAGCTCAGGTGGCGTGTTGCACAGCGTAACAGCTCAGGTGGCGTGTTGCACAGCGTAACAGCTCAGGTGGCGTGTTGCACAGTGTAACAGCTCAGATGGCGTGTTGCACAACGTAACAGCTCAGGTGGCGTGTTGCACAGCGTAACAGCTCAGGTGGTGTGTTGCACAATGTAACAGCTCAGGTGGCGTGTTGCACAATGTAACAGCTCAGGTGGCGTGTTGCACAGCGTAACAGCTCAGGTGGCGTGTTGCATAGTGTAACAGCTCAGATGGCGTGTTGCACAACGTAACAGCTCAGGTGGCGTGTTGCACAGCGTAACAGCTCAGGTGGCGTGTTGCACAACGTAACAGCTCAGATGGCATGTTGCACAACGTAACAGCTCAGGTGGCGTGTTGCACAGCGTAACAGCTCAGGTGGCGTGTTGCACAGCGTAACAGCTCAGGTGGCGTGTTGCAGAGTGTAACAGCTCAGATGGCGTGTTGCACAACGTAACAGCTCAGGTGGCGTGTTGCACAGCGTAACAGCTCAGGTGGTGTGTTGCACAATGTAACAGCTCAGGTGGCGTTTTGCACAGCATAACAGCTCAGGTGGCGTGTTGGACAGCGTAACAGCTCAGATGGCGTGTTGCACAACGTAACAGCTCAGGTGGCGTGTTGCACAGCGTAACAGCTCAGGTGGCGTGTTGCACAACGTAACAGCTCAGGTGGCGTGTTGCACAGCGTAACAGCTCAGGTGGCGTGTTGCACAACGTAACAGCTCAGATGGCGTGTTGCACAGCGTAACAGCTCAGATGGCGTGTTGCACAATGTAACAGCTCAGGTGGCGTGTTGCACAGCGTAACAGCTCAGGTGGCGTGTTGCACAGCGTAACAGCTCAGGTGGCGTGTTGCACAGTGTAACAGCTCAGATGGCGTGTTGCACAACGTAACAGCTCAGGTGGCGTGTTGCACAGCGTAACAGCTCAGGTGGCGTGTTGCACAGCGTAACAGCTCAGGTGGCGTGTTGCACAGTGTAACAGCTCAGATGGCGTGTTGCACAACGTAACAGCTCAGGTGGTGTGTTGCACAGCGTAACAGCTCAGGTGGTGTGTTGCACAATGTAACAGCTCAGGTGGCGTGTTGCACAACGTAACAGCTCAGATGGCGTGTTGCACAGCGTAACAGCTCAGATGGTGTGTTGCACAATGTAACAGCTCAGATGGCGTGTTGCACAGCGTAACAGCTCAGATGGCGTGTTGCACAGCGTAACAGCTCAGGTGGCGTGTTGCACAGTGTAACAGCTCAGATGGCGTGTTGCACAATGTAACAGCTCAGATGGTGTGTTGCACTATGTAACAGCTCAGATGGCGTGTTGCACAGCGTAACAGCTCAGGTGGCGTGTTGCACAGTGTAAGAGCTCAGATGGCGTGTTGCACAATGTAACAGCTCAGATGGTGTGTTGCAAAATGTAACAGCTCAGATGGCGTGTTGCACAATGTAACAGCTCAGGTGGTGTGTTGCACAACGTAACAGCTCAGGTGGCGTGTTGCACAGTGTAACAGCTCAGATGGCGTGTTGCACAGCGTAACAGCTCAGGTGGCGTGTTGCACAGTGTAACAGCTCAGATGGCGTGTTGCACAATGTAAAAGCTCAGATGGTATGTTGCACAATGTAACAGCTCAGATGGCGTGTTGCACAGTGTAACAGCTCAGATGGCGTGTTGCACAATGTAACAGCTCAGATGGCGTGTTGCACAGCGTAACAGCTCAGATGGTGTGTTGCACAATGTAACAGCTCAGATGGCGTGTTGCACAGCGTAACAGCTCAGGTGGCGTGTTGCACAGTGTAACAGCTCAGATGGCGTGTTGCACAATGTAACAGCTCAGATGGTCTGTTGCACAACGTAACAGCTCAGATGGTGTGTTGCACAATGTAACAGCTCAGATGGCGTGTTGCACAGTGTAACAGCTCAGGTGGCGTGTTGCACAGTGTAACAGCTCAGATGGCGTGTTGCACAATGTAACAGCTCAGATGGTGTGTTGCACAATGTAACAGCTCAGATGGCGTGTTGCACAGCGTAACAGCTCAGGTGGCGTGTTGCACAGCGTAACAGCTCAGATGGCGTGTTGCACAATGTAACAGCTCAGATGGTGTGTTGCACAATGTAACAGCTCAGATGGCGTGTTGCACAGCGTAACAGCTCAGGTGGCGTGTTGCACAATGTAACAGCTCAGATGGTGTGTTGCACAATGTAACAGCTCAGATGGCGTGTTGCACAGCGTAACAGCTCAGGTGGCGTGTTGCACAGTGTAACAGCTCAGATGGCGTGTTGCACAATGTAACAGCTCAGATGGTGTGTTGCACAATGTAACAGCTCAGATGGCGTGTTGCACAGCGTAACAGCTCAGGTGGCGTGTTGCACAGTGTAACAGCTCAGATGGCGTGTTGCACAATGTAACAGCTCAGATGGTGTGTTGCACAATGTAACAGCTCAGATGGCGTGTTGCACAACGTAACAGCTCAGGTGGCGTGTTGCACAGCGTAACAGCTCAGATGGCGTGTTGCACAACGTAACAGCTCAGGTGGCGTGTTGCACAGCGTAACAGCTCAGGTGGCGTGTTGCACAACGTAACAGCTCAGGTGGCGTGTTGCACAGTGTAACAGCTCAGATGGCGTGTTGCACAGCGTAACAGCTCAGGTGGCGTGTTGCACAGTGTAACAGCTCAGATGGCGTGTTGCACAATGTAACAGCTCAGATGGTGTGTTGCACAATGTAACAGCTCAGATGGCGTGTTGCACAGTGTAACAGCTCAGATGGCGTGTTGCACAATGTAACAGCTCAGATGGCGTGTTGCACAGCGTAACAGCTCAGATGGTGTGTTGCACAATGTAACAGCTCAGATGGCGTGTTGCACAGCGTAACAGCTCAGGTGGCGTGTTGCACAGTGTAACAGCTCAGATGGCGTGTTGCACAATGTAACAGCTCAGATGGTGTGTTGCACAATGTAACAGCTCAGATGGCGTGTTGCACAACGTAACAGCTCAGGTGGCGTGTTGCACAGCGTAACAGCTCAGATGGCGTGTTGCACAACGTAACAGCTCAGGTGGCGTGTTGCACAGCGTAACAGCTCAGGTGGCGTGTTGCACAACGTAACAGCTCAGGTGGCGTGTTGCACAGCGTAACAGCTCAGGTGGCGTGTTGCACAGTGTAACAGCTCAGATGGCGTGTTGCACAACGTAACAGCTCAGATGGCGTGTTGCACAGCGTAACAGCTCAGATGGTGTGTTGCACAATGTAACAGCTCAGATGGCGTGTTGCACAGCGTAACAGCTCAGGTGGCGTGTTGCACAGTGTAACAGCTCAGATGGCGTGTTGCACAATGTAACAGCTCAGATGGCGTGTTGCACAACGTAACAGCTCAGATGGTGTGTTGCACAGCGTAACAGCTCAGATGGTGTGTTGCACAACGTAACAGCTCAGATGGCGTGTTGCACAACGTAACAGCTCAGGTGGCGTGTTGCACAGCGTAACAGCTCAGATGGCGTGTTGCACAACGTAACAGCTCAGGTGGCGTGTTGCACAGCGTAACAGCTCAGGTGGCGTGTTGCACAGCGTAACAGCTCAGGTGGCGTGTTGCACAGCGTAACAGCTCAGATGGCATGTTGCACAGTGTAATAGCTCAGGTGATATGTTACATAGTGTAACAGCTCAGGTGACGCTTTACACAGTGTGAAAGCTCAGGTGATGTGTTACATAGTGTAACAGCTCAGGTGACGCTTTACACAGTGTGAAAGCTCAGGTGGTGTGTTGCACAGTGTAACCGCTCAGGTTGATATATAGTGTAACGTTCAGGTGACGCTTTACACAGAGTAAAAGCTAAGGTGACTTGTTGCACAGTGTAACAGTTCGGGTGATGTGTTGCACAGAATAAAAGCTAAGGTGACGCTTAATACAGTGTGAAAGCTTAGGTGATGTGTTACATAGTGTAACCGCTCAGGTGATGTGTTACATAGTGTAACAGCTCAGGTAATGTGTTACATAGTGTTATAGGTCAGATGATGCATTTCTATTTAGGTCTTCTCTAAGAGATATCTCCAGGGAATAAAACATTAAAGTTTCCTTTAAACCTAAATGGTTTAGGTGAGGTGATTACCTGTAAGGTGCTTGTAGATCCCATCACCTCCTTGCTACTGTCGGCTGTGTCTCTTCGCTCTGCAGGTTAAAACAACAGATCAAAAGAGATCATGAGGAAGGCGACAAACAAGGATGACTATCATCACACCGCCAAAATGTCAGCAGCACCAGTGACTGACCTTTAACCAGCGACAGCGAAAAAGGAGCGGCGTGTCCGTCTCGTTCACGCTCCACAACATGGTCGGTGAAGGCAGCGTGGTCAGCTGCAGCCAGCGGCACCTCTCTGTCACTAAGCTCCTGCTCCAGGCTGCTGTGGAAGAGGCTGAGCAGTAGCTCATTGGGAAGGGTGGGGGGCTGTTGACCCAGATCTTCATTTTCTATATCTAAGAAAACCATTCAGAAAATAATCAAGCATTAGAGATGCTATAAAGACACGGAAGGTTTCTAGCGCCCTCATCTTGGCTAAAGGAACAGACGCCGTACCTGCAGTGAATGTTAGGAAGAAGAGTTCAACCTGCTGGCAGTTTGGAAGAAGATGTATGAGATCAAACTGGAAGGGAACCATCTGGATGCTATCCTCCAGCGTTGAGACTTCTGCTAACAGGACGAGGACCATCAGTCAGTTCATGAGAACCAGAACCCTCAAAGCAGAGCCCACCAACACCGAAACAGCTGGTTACCTTGCTCCACCCTTTGTGCAGAGGGTAGTGAGCAGACCTGCTCCTTGTTAAGGCAAAGATGGTTCAAATACTCAAAGGTCATCATGGTGGACATGCAGGCCAGGTCCCTGGGGAAAATCTGCAAAGACAACAATCACAGCACACCGAGTATAAGACAACAGACAAAGGGAGTGCCAGGGGCCAGCAGGGTCTGGATGTCTGATAGGTACCGCTAGTGGAATGTCCTGGTATTCAAGGCCCTGGAAGTGTCGGTGCTGGTCCGTGCAGTTCAGCACTGAGCCACTCTGAGGTTCCACCCAGCATTCCGTTACCAGGTTCAGCTCCATGTCTATGTCCACAGCTTCCACCTCCGTGTCGTTGTCGTCGTCGGTAGAGAAGCTAGAAAAGAGAAAGAGGAAAAAGGACGGAAACAGAACCTGGTTCAGAGGCTCATTCCGACTCAACCAAAACCCAACATACTGCTTAGAAGATCCATGGCTTCATACCTGTCCTTACTGGAGGGGGAGTGAGGAGGAAACAAAATGTACTGAACGATGCAGGAGTGTCCTTCCTGGTCTGGGTCGTCTCCTGAGATCTAAGGTCGAAGTTCAGAAGAAAGAAGCAGCAGTCAGACAGTCCAATGAGAGCACAGAACCATTAGAGCAGGTTCAATCCCAGCTTACCTTCATAGGCAGCTCAACCACCATGTTAACAATGCCCTCCCCACTGGCAGCAAAGTGAAAACCTTCTGACAGACGAATCCTGTCAGGACATTACAAAAGAGTTCAGATATCAGCCTGTTGTCTCACAAAAGAAAAGGAAATTAAGACCAACCAGTTCCCTGAAGGCTGGCCGTTAAACATGCAAGCGTTCTTCAAGAACCTGGAAGGTTCTGCCTTGAAACGCCTAACCCAAGGATACATCCTGGAAGGAAGTGGATCTAAAACCTTTCAGATCTCAGTACTGTCCAGTCATGGCTACATCCCAGAAGGAAGCTGATCTAAAACTTTTCAGATCTTTGAACTGTCCGGTCATGGCTACATCCTTGAAGGAATCGGCTCTAAGCCTTTTCCAGATCTCGTACTGTCAGGTCATGGTTACATCCTTGAAGGAATCGGCTCTAAACCTTTTCCAGATCTCGTACTGTCAGGTCATTGCTGGATCCTTGAAGGAATCGGCTCTAAGCCTTTTCCAGATCTCGTACTGTCAGGTCATGGTTACATCCTTGAAGGAATCGGCTCTAAACCTTTTCCAGATCTCGTACTGTCAGGTCATTGCTGGATCCTTGAAGGAATCGGCTCTAAACCTTTTCCAGATCTCGGTACTGTCAGGTCATGGCTGGATCCTTGAAGGAATCGGCTCTAAACCTTTTCCAGATCTCGTACTGTCAGGTCATTGCTGGATCCTTGAAGGAATCAGAAGTTGCCTGTGAGTGAAGCCAGCCAGGGATAGGTGTGTTGAGCTGGGTCCACTGGGAGAAAAACGTCTTCATGCCTCAATAATAAATGGGGTGTGATTCTGAACGTTTGGTTTTGGATGAGACCGAATCCACCTGGTCTCCAACATAACAATCACTCATCCTAATGAAAGCTTCTAATGAGGTTTAAGCAATAAGCAAAGCATTGTCAGTCATACTTACTCTGAGAGCATGGAAAGGATGTGAGCGATGGCCTGTGTGGTCACCGCTGCCCCCTGGCTGCTCTGCACGGCCCACACCCAGCGCCTGTGGAGGAAGTAGCGCGACAGCGAGGCCAGGGTGGAGGAGGCCGTCCGGTTGGCTGCTATGCTAAGAGGCACAGTGCTGTTAAAAGGCACCGGGAAATTCTCCATGCTGAAGATGAAGGGAGTCCTGAAGTCCAGCGGCAGCTTGTCATACCTGTATGCCAGAAACACATTTAGACAGCTCCTCTGGAGGCATCTGCTGTATCAGCCACACTCACCTTATAAGCAACTTCTCCAGAGGTTTATTGAGGAGCACCACACAAGGTCTGTCAGACAGGGCAGGCTTGGTCACTTGAACCAAGGGGGCTTTAGATGGAGACACATGTCCACCCGTCTTCCTCTTGGTCTTTGGAGTTGCTTCCTTGCTCTGAACACGGTGAGGGAAGCGAAGCTTTAGGATCTGCTCCCGCAGCTCTTCTACAATCTGATTAGAGAAGAAGAGTGGTAGGTACAGATGGCTCTAAAACCCCTCTTCCTTCCTGATCTAAAATGGAGAGCAATTTATTATTTCTGATGAATATATCATGGATGAACACAGCTGGAAACACCTCAGCTTTCTCAGAACAGATTTATATAGGCATTAGATCCGAAAGTCACAGGGAAACGGTACAGCTTAACAGCACTGGGGTTTTTGATCATTTCATGAGTTTACTACGTTCTAAAAGCTGAACCACATACGTTAATAGCCACCACATGCTGACCTCATGTTAGCTACCAAATGCTAACATATTTGATTCTTATCTATAAAGTTATGAAAACTTTATTTCAATAAAGAATGTTGGCCTGAAACAATATTGGAATAGGGCAGAGGGTTCCCTTGCATCTGCTAGCCATAAGCTCTTTTTCTAAGCAGCTAACAGACACTTACAGCATTAGTCGGCTAACATTTCACTAGCTTAGCTAACATCTTCTTTTGTTATTCCCTTAGGAGTAATCTCTAGTGATGCATAATGAGGCATCTTGGAGCCAAACTGTATGAATGCTGCGTTGATACCGTCTCACAGAATACTGACACCTGCTGGACATTTAAAGACATTACAGGCAGCTGATTTAACAGACTGAACTAGTAAAATGATATCATTTAAGTTATTAGGGTTGTATTATATTATTTCACATCTATGTTTAAATTGAAAATATCTTTAAAATTTTGGAATCAGCCAATTAATAATGTAAAAATTTATATTAAAATTTATCACAGTTTCACTGAAAAACCGAGCTTCAGCAGCTTTCCATAGCAAGACCACTCAGTCCTTCCCCGTATGCGTCACTTCCACTATGATCATCTGTAATAAGGCTTTAATCTACAAAAGACTCTAGATAATGTCCAGTTTGTGTCATAAACACTTGAAAAACAAATAAAATACTAAAGAAATGAGCAGCATGGTTGGAGGACATTTATCAAGGCTCAATTTTAAAAAGGCAGCTTGAATTGATGCTGAATGTCAGCTTAGGCCTTAGAGTCCGACTTCTTGAAGCAGAGCACAGGAAGTGTGTGGACGCTACAACTGGACCAAATATAAACATACAGAAAAATTGTTTCCATGGCAATCAGCCAATAAAGACCAGTCCAGATCGCATCACTCTCCCAGTATCAGTTCTATTTCATCCCTACTGACCGCCAGAGGGCGGTGCTGAAAGCACTGAATGTTCCCTTTGGGCATGCGCAGTTCGAGTAATTATACCAACAGAGTCACACCTGTGACACTGGATGACCACTTCGCTAGCTTCCCCATTGTTTAATGCCCCTGTCTCTTGCTGACTGGAGTATTCTCTACCCTCCCAGGGCTGCAACGGGTCGATTCTGAAGATTACGGAAGGTAAGTTTGTTTGTTTGCTGGTGATGGTAGCGTCTGCGCCCCCTCTCCCGGCTTATGGCTTTTTCTTACCATTTTACCTACAGCCTGGTGCTGTTTTGTTTTGAACTGGAACTCGCTAAGCCATTCAGAGATTTATAGACTAACAGAAGTATTTTAAAGTCTATTCTCTGAGATACAGGGAGCCAGTGGAAGGACTTTAGAACCGGGGTGATGTGCTCTACTTTCTTAGTCTTAGTGAGGACACGGGCAGCAGCGTTCTGGATCAGCTGCAGCTGTCTGATCCACTTTTTAGGCAGACCTGTGAAAACACCGTTGCAGTAATCAATTTGACTAAAAATAAACGCATGGATTAGTTTTTCCAAATCGTGCTGAGACATTAGTCCTTTAATCCTGGAAATGTTCTTCAGGTGATAGAAAACTCTTTTGCTTTTGGAGATTCAAGTCTGAATCCAGCACTACAACTAGATTTGGGGCCTGATCAGTGGTTACTAGCTGAAGCGACTGAAGCTCTGTGCTAACTTTAAATCTCACCTCTATTGGTCCAAAGATTATTACTTCAGTTTTGTTTTTATTCAGTTGTAGAAAATTATGGTGACGGTAGTGGTTCTCGCCCCCCTCTCCCAGTATCGGCCTCCTTGTGTTTGCAGCCTCTTTCGTTTCTCTGCTATAAATGGTGACGGCTGCGTTTGCGCCCCCTCTCCCGATTTTAGACATTTTTTTAAAAATCCTTGTCGGCCTTCGACATGGATCTGTGCCCTACCTGCCTTGGACTTGAGCACCTTTTGGAGGCGCTGTCAGAGAACCCCTGCATGAACTGCAGTTTTATGCCCGATGCAGTGAGGGTGGCTCGGTTGGCCCAGTCGTGCCCCCAGGAGGGCTCTGACCTTCCGCCCTCTGGGCAGGTGGTTCCCCCCCAAGCGTTCTAAGCGGCATGTTGGGACCACAGCATCTGTGCCCCTTCCCTGGAGGAAGCGGGCCAAACCTGACCAGGGCCTGTCCACAAGGGTGGAGCAGTTTTCAGCAGAGTTGGCAGAGATGAAGTCCTTGTTACAGACACGCCAATCTGATGCCTCGCTTCCAGTTGCCAGGCTCTTTTCCCCACACATGCCCGAACTGGTTGCAGAGGATGACATAATATCTCTGCCTCCTTCTGCTTCTCATTTTAGAGATGAAGAGGAGACAGGGTCCTCTCAAGCCTCTGAGACTGCTTCATTTTCATCTCAGAGTGCTGTTGAAGAGGCAGGTGACAGTTCCATCCGGGAGTTCATGTCTATGGCCCCGAGGCAGCTGTAGCTGGAACTCCCACAAGGGGAGGTATCCAACTCCGGTAGTGCTTTTTTCAGACGTGGAAGAGCTCCTACTCCCTTTTTTTGTTCCTCCATCAGAGGAGTACCTGAAGGAGTTCCACGCCTGTTGGCGGGAACCGAGAGCATTGTCACGTCTCTCCTCAGATGGTCGCATGTTAGCTGCAATGCACAAGTTGGTGAAGGCCTCCCTGGACCGTATACAAGCAATTGAACCCCCTGTTGCTTCATTGATTCTGTCACCATATGAAGCCCTGCGTCCTGATGTCTGGTGCTCGTGGACTCAGTGTCGGGTTACAGATGACCTCCTGTGTAATGCGTACAATGCAGGGTGCTGGCCGGGAACAGGGCAAAGCATGACACCAGGCTATATAGCCTCTGAGTGGTCATCCGCTCACACAGGTGTGACTCTGTTGGTATAATTACTCAAACTGCGCATGCCCGAAGGGAACATTGACCGCCCTCTGACGGTCATCCGGGATTCATAGAACCGTAGTTACATACATAACTTTTATTATTCTTTTTCTCGGAAATGTTGCTCTAAGTCTTCTGTTGAAGCTAGTTTACTGGCATCAGGGATAGTTCTAACTGGTTCCTTCCCAGAACCAGTTAAAAACTGCTTCTTTCTTTGAGTACCTTGTTTCGAATGCTTGCCGGTGTCCCAATAGGGAAGCCCAGACGCAAAACCATGCAGGGAGTCTTGGAGATCAGGCGGACCAGGTAAAACGACGAGGGGACCTGATCCGACTGACTGCAGAGACAAAGTTGAGAGAGTCGGCATTATGTCCTGAAGAACAAGGACCTGGTTTCATTGGAAGGACAGAAACATCTTCTTCACCCGTAAATGAGCTTGACGTAAGAGTAACCTTCTACCAACACAAAGCTGCTGCAGTCCCTCAACAGGGATGTGAGGGCAGAGTGGGAGATCCGGCACTGGATGGTGCTGTAGCGGCCGTTGTTACCAGCTGTGTGCAGATGTTTAGGGACAGGCCTAGGGGGGAGGGGGGGAGGGTTAGTGAGGATGACTAAAAAGAACAAAACCAGGAACACTGCAAACAAGGAAAGAACTTTAGGACTCAGATTCATTTCCACAACATGAAGCAGAGACCAGAGAAAGACAGAGTGAGACGCCAGATTAAGAGGCCAGAGTGAGACAACAGAGACGACAGAGAGACGACAGATAGAGACGACAGATAGAGACGACAGAGAGACGCCAGAGTGAGACCACGGAGTGAGAGGACAGAGTTAGAGGACCGAGAGAGACAACAGAGAGGACAGAGAGAAAGAGTGAGGCGCCAGAGTGAGACGACAGAGTGAGACGACAGAGAGACGCCAGAGTGAGACCACGGAGTGAGAGGACAGAGTTAGAGGACCGAGAGAGACAACAGAGAGGACAGAGAGAAAGAGTGACGCGCCAGAGTCACTCGCGACAGAGTGAGACGACAGAGTGAGACGACAGAGAGACGCCAGAGTGAGACCACAGAGACTACGGAGTGAGAGGACAGAATTAGAGGACCGAGAGAGACGACAGAGAGAAAGAGAGAAAGAGTGAGGCGCCAGAGTGAGACGCCAGAGTGAGGCGACAGAGTGAGGCGACAGAGGGAGATGACAGAAAGATGCCAGAGTGAGACCACAGAGACCACGGAGTGAGAGGACAGAGTTAGAGGACCGAGAGAGACGACAGAGAGGACAGAGAGAAAGAGTGAGGAAACGACAGTGAGACCACAGAGACCAAAGAATGAGAGGACAGAGAGCACAGAGAGAGTGAGGCGACAGAGAGGCATGTAGACTTAGCCCCATCCTACCTACATTCCTACTACCTACGTAGATACATAAAGCTTAAACACGGGACTGCTACTCGCAGCAGGTCGAGTTTAAACGACAATGAGCCCTAGTTCGCAGTTAAACTTCAACAGCTAACTGTGAAAAGGGAGGAGGAATGGAGTGGGGCCGGACTTGTTCAGGTTATTAAAGTGCAGGAGGTGTGAGATCTTAAGAACAGTTCTCCCCCTAACAACGCCACAGCAATTTCCAACACATCCGAAATTACAAGCCCAGGACCCCCATCTCCATCAACATCTCTTGACCTGCAAATGAGTTTAACCAGTGCTACAGACACTCAACAAGTCGCCATCCCCAAGCCCCCTTTATCTAGAACCAGTCACCCCTTTGACTCTTACCAGTTGGCTAGGTCCACCATGAAGTTCTTTCACTTCCTGGATGGGAGGTGAACTTCACCCCTTCACCTAAAACGGAGGAATTAATTTATGTGGCAGTTGCAGAAGCACAGCTTGCCACAGAAAATAACTCGACCTCAAACTGGTAAGGGCACTTCAGCCACAGCAAAAGTCCGTCCCTGGAATAGTACTAAGAGTGGCAGCGAGGAAAGAGGTAGCTTCATTGCAGCTAGCATAGAGAGATCCAAGCATTTCTAGCTGCCGCTTGGAGCTGTATGATTTCCCACAATCCTTTGAGTGACAGAGCATATATAAACACAGCAAACCTTGCTGAGTCCAACAACGATCCATTATTTCCTCTTTTCTACTCTGCTCGGCTTCAGATGTTTTAGGTTCTATACCAGAGATTCAGCTGCTCAAGACCTTAGTAACCTTTGTTTTCCTAGTCCTATTCCGGGAGTCATAACTAAACAAGGATTATTAACGTGCCTGTCTGCAGTGCCATGGTGTTTGTGAGGCTGAAGGGTGTCCAGATAGAGTTCTACTGTTGATCCTACAAAAACAAAAGGAACAGGAGGTAGAAGCTGCAATGTGAGCTATCCACAATGATGGTGACGTTCTACTCCACCATCGCCGTCTAGTCCATCCTCTCCTCCTCACTGTCAAGTAGCTGCTTCCCCCAGCAGCGACCAGGTCAGGCTGCAATGGATCATTGACTCTGCAGAGATGCTGATTGGCTGCAATGCTCCTTCTTTCTAAGAACTGTACACCTCCATGCACCAGAGGACAGTAGCTACGATTGCGGCTGCCACCTGTATGTTGTACTTGTCTGTGGGTAGCATCTCACCACCAAATCTAATCCCAGCTACATGTAAAACAGGCAAGAGAATTTTCTGATTCTGATGGGTTGTCCTATCCCTTCTCTGCCTGTAGGAATGATAGAACAGAACCCAGACAGAGATTATCATGACCTCAATTTGACTGTATGATCTGGTTGTACTGTAAAGTGCCTTGAGGTGACTTGTGTTGTGAATTAGCACTATATAAATAAACTGAATTGAACTGAAATAGATCCCTTACACTTATCTAGAGATGCAAAAAGCGGATGAATGATGTCCTGTGCAGGTCGACTAAAAGCAATGGTTATGAAGTAATTGACAAACTGATTAGAGGAATGGTCCTTCTACTTATTGTAGATCTAAAGGCTGATTTATACTTCGAAACCAGGTCCGCTGTGTAGGTGTCGCAGTGAACAAAAAGCCGTCCCCGCCCCCTCCACAGACACTCCGCTGCACCTCTCCAAAATTGTGAGTGACCGCAGACAGGAGGTTGTTTTGTTCTTATGACCGAAACAAATCGTGAAGTTGGACCAGCTAGAAGATCGAGGTGAACGAGAACGCTGGGACCCTTTTTCCACCTGGATCCCCGCTCTTTTTCGCTGACATGTCCCTCCGTTGTTGGACTAAATTCGCCCCCACTTCCTCGCCGCCTCGGCCGTATCTAGACCCACAGCGTATAGCACAGACCACGCTTCAATATTGAGCATAAATCAAAATGTCTGCGTCAAGCTCACTGCGACACACTGCTGCAAGAGTATAACCAGCCCTTAAAGGGGAACACCGTTTTTTATCACATTGGACCCTTGATTTTCCGTTATTCCATCATGTTCTACTCACCCATATGAGTTTAGTGTCATTTGGAGCCGTTCTGAAGATATTCCGTTAGGTTATATCCAGTAACATCTTCCTATGGGCAACGACTTGAAGGCACAAACTAAACTGTTCATCATTTATTCTTTATTGTACGCCAGCATTCAGAACATGGAGGCCAATCACTGTCCCACAGACATCCACAGTTTAATTTTTATATTTCTATCTTTTAAAACAAAGCGGAGTGTGTGTGACGTCATCCGCGTGCGCCGGCTACCGTTCATTCATCCTGTCTGCTGAACTGCTGCTAGTTTTCCTCACATGCCTGGAAGATGTCTAGTGCTGCTACCACAGATGATCTCCCTCTCCAAATGGAATTGAACGATTTAGATTAACTCGCCGAATATACATAAGAGGTAGAGCATAGCCGCCTGGTGTAATACACATTGGTTAAATAACACGCGGATGGCATCAGTCATACATGCACTGCTTTGTTTTTAAAAAATAGAAATATAAAAAATCTAACGGCGGATGTCTGGGTGACAGTGATTGTCCTCCATGTTCTGAATGCTGGCGTACCATAAAGAATAAATGATGAACAGTTTAGTTTAGGGCTGGGTAAAAAAAAATCGATTTAATCGATATCGAATCGATTCCTTTACATTTTTGCAGAATCGATGTCTAGGGAATGAAATCAATTAGTTTTATAGTGACGAGCGTAACATTCACATTCAAATGAGCAGGAAAGACAAACTCAAGATGACTTCAAATATAGCCAATCGGTTGACTGAAGACATGGGGGCTGACCAGCAAGCACCCTGTAGTTGTTACAGACAACGCTGCAAATATAGTTTGTGCTGTGAAGATAATGCAGCTCATGCATGTCTGCTGTGTCACGTCTGCTTGCACGAGTGAGTCTTCACTTTTTCACTTTTCACAAACAAGTTTGCACTTTTGAGACAGTTTTATTCACATCTCAAGTTTAAACTGTCCGATTTACAAGTTTGCACCTTGTGTTTAATATGACCGGAAAAAAATAAAATACATGAGTATTTTGAAACACATTTGAACCACTTTTACTATTGTAAAAACAGATCGAATCGCAATTAATCAATTTAGAACTGCATGAATCAAAATCGAATCGATTCAGGACTTTGGTAAAACTATCCGGCCCTAGTTCAGTTTGTGCCTTCAAGTCGTTGCCCATAGGAAGACGTTACTGGATATATCCTAACGGAATATCTTCAGAACGGCTGCAGATGACACTAAACTCATATGGGTGAGTAGAACATGATGGAATAACGTAAAATCAAGGGCCCAATGTAAAAAAAACGGCGTTCCCCTTTAAGCCTTATCAGCCATGTAGGGCAAGTCTTCATCTAAGCTTCTACCTAGTTTAGCCTTTAGATGGCACCGCTTTGATGTTGAGATTCTGAATCATACATGTCCACATAAACCTATAGCTATAGATCCGTATCACCGTTTCAGTCATTTGAACAGAAAGGGACTGTTCCTTACAAGTCATGTTCAAGGATGATGGCGATGCGGTGCATGTGAAACCATCTCTGCCAGAAGTTGGTGTCCATGGAGAGGATGGGTTTCCAGTAGGATGCAAACTGGGACTGAGACGGGTCTTTGGATCCACCGTGCTGCAAAGACAGAACCTGAAGGAAGAGGATATCAACAATTATAGGAGATCTGATCAGAGAGGAGAGGCTGCTTTGGTTGGAGGACAGACTCCGCCTCCTTTCCAATTGTATCAGCTTGGGTCTGGTTTGTTTTCTATTACAGTTAAACCCCATTTCAACGGTTGGTAGACCGGCCACTCCACAGTCCAGAAACCGCAACATTTAACAACCGCTCGATGCAAAGGTGCGCCTACAGGCACCAAATTAGAAGCAGCATGGTTGGAAACCATGCGTTGGAAATGCTGGTTCCTCTTTTGTGTTCAACTCAACACTAGCTTCAAGAGAACATTAAATGTCTATTAGTTAGTTTTTTCAACAAACGTTAAGTAGAAGTTGATGCTAAGAGGATCTCCTGCAGTGGCTCTGGAGAAGCCTCTGACTGAAGACACCGTCGTTTAACATGGCAGCACTTGATTTTGCTGAATGAGACACATTGATCCAAAATGACATGCGTCCACCGGACCAAGTCCTAACTTGGCCAGAACCAGCAACCACTCCAGGAGCAGCAGCTGGATGACGGTTGGTTCCCAAGGTACTTCTTTCTGTCCAGAACCAGATGTCAGAACCTGTTTTTGAATGAACGAGTCCCCTGTGGTTCTTCCCTCTAGGTCACATCCAGTCACCGTGAAGCGGATGCTGGAGCGACAGCCAGAGGACAGGTGGCAGGAAGCTAATGCTACTGCATGCTAATACTACAATACTTTACTCTGTTCGCTTTTAGTTTATTGTATCCGTTCTCAAAAGAGAAAGGGAAACGGAGTTTAATATAATCCAAGTCTGTGAATAGTTCGGTCTGAAATGAATGAATATAGTTGTTTTAATGGTTATTGAGTCAGATATGTGGCGGTAATGTCTGGTTTATGGGAAGCTTTTATCTGTCACTGTATAAATGGGCTTGGCTGATATTTAAGCTCAGATTGTTCAGATTGCTCAGAAGTGTTGTGACTATAAATCTTAGGCCCCGTCCACACGAAGCCAAACCCTGGCCTAAACTCACAAATTTTTCACCAAACCAGCCTCTCATCCATACGAAGCCGGCGTTTCGGGGGTCTGTAAACGATCTTTTTTTTATTCAGCCTTCAGAGTGGGAAGATTTTGAAACGCCGTTTTCGCGTTTCCATCTTTAAGCTCTAACCGCATTTTTTTTTTTTTACACGCATGCGTCATAGCGTCGCCTCTAAACACGCATGCGCGACACAGTATCACAACAACTATGGCGCCGTACTGTGTTGAATGGTTGCTGCTCATGCTACTCACCCTGCTGTCGGGCTTACAACAGAATCTTCTTCTTCTGGAATATCTCCAGGAAGAACAGAGCAATATCGACCACATAGTTCAGCACCTGAATTTGACTGAACCACGAAAATGGACCCGCAGGGCAACCATGTATAAATATTAGTGCGCATGCCCAACATTTCGTCGCCTATTTTTGCTTTGGCACCACAGCGCCACTTACAGGCCTGGCATACATTTTGCAGCGTTTTCATGCATTCGTGTGGACGATCACATTTATTTTATGTCTCCGTCTTTACGACAAACGTTCTGGAAAATATTAGCATTTCGTGTTCGTTTTGACTTCGTGTGGACGGGGCCTAATATCTGAGACGGGGTCTGGAATGGGGGGGTCTGGAATGGGGGGGTCTGGAATGGTGAGATGTTTAGGAAACAAGCCCAGCCCTCAAAATCATATAAATCTGTGACACGTTTATTGAAGACGTATATTTGACTAAAGACGGCTGTTAATTAAAAAGCATCGTCCCATTTGGCATGCAAGACGCGACTGGCGTTGAGTAATTCTACTTTAAACCAAGTCTCTCCTTTACTATTTAGTGTTAACGCAATAAACCCAGAGCTAGATGATTTCATGTCTGAACATAGTTCTTATCAGAAAGTGGTGTGCCTATTGACCCCATCAGTGACCGACAGTTGCCCCACTTCCTGTTTTCAGCACAACTCTGTATAGATGGAACAGCAGTCAGGCAGGAATGGAAACGCTGCAGAGTGAGTAGAACTGTACTGAACAGCTCTGAGTTCAGAGGAAAAGGGGCATTAGAGCCTGGGGGGGGGGGGGGGGGGGGGGGGCGAACCATCAGCCTCTCTGTCTGAACACAAGTCTATTTATTTAGTCTAGAAAGAAGTTGGTCTTTTTTTATGATGGGCATACTTTAAGAACTACTAAAAGGCCCTACAGTCACTAAAAATGGCCACTGTCCTGGTTCCAGGGGCCTCAAGCAGAAGGTTATCATGAACACTATCAGATAAGGGAAAGCGAGGCGACGAGTCCTGAGGGGATACGGCGAGCTCCCTACCGGGGTGGTGGAGCCAGGAGGGATGTAGAACAGAGGGACTCCGTTTTTGGTGCTCTCTGGAATGGTGTAATTCTCCGGGATGGAATTGAACGACTGCAGATGCACCAACATCTGGTCAGTTTGGTTGATGCTGAGAATGACACACATGGACACGTTACGTCCCTGCCTAAGACAATCCCCCGCAGTGCTGAGGTGTGTCTCAGTGGAAACGTACCTCTGAAGCGTGTTCCAGAAGCGGCGGATGACGGAGGTGCGGTACGGGCTGGTGATGGGCTTCCGCTGCGTGCAGCTGATATCGTGCAGGATGTCGTAGCTGCCTTCCATGGTTACCTCCACCTTAGTGCTCCTGTTGGATGGGTCTAATGGCCAGGTGGCGGCTGCTAGGTACTCTATATGCATGTTGTGTTTCCACAGCAAAGCCAGCTTCACCTCCAGCTGGGTTCCACCTAAACAAAAGAAGACATGATGGACTCTGACATCTCTTTCAGGTTCTCTCCTGAGGGCAGAGCTTTACCTTTGGTGAGGCTGATGTCTCTGACGGTGTAGCCTTCCCTCAGCCTCACGGACACGGCACTGATCAGATGAGCGTGGACCTCTTTCTCTGTGTGCTTCTTTCTCCTCATCACCAGGGCGGGGTTACCGCTGGCCGACACCAGGTGCTCATTGAAGAGTTTGTCTTGGGAAACTAAAACGACATGAATGATGCCTCATTACAATAAGACCGACCCTAAAGAGTTTATCTCCACAGTTTAAAGGACGACTAAACATCCTGATAGGTTCTGGCCAGAACTCGCCTCTAGCTGAACAAGCTGATGCTACAGGCTCATGTTGACAGGTAAAACAACACTGTAGCGAACACTGCTCCGCATATCCATCTGGAAACCTTCCGTTGAAGTAATTTTGGGAAGGGGCGAAAATACTGGTTAGCTGATTGGCCTATGTTGGTGATAGACGGGCCAAATAAACCAATCAGATCAACGAAGCATATGACGTAACAGAGCGATGACGAAGAGGAGCCAATTGATAGATCAAACTCTTGGTGAAACCAGTCGGGAGAAGAGCAAAAACATCTTTTCCTCTGAGAAAAGCCTCCAGAGCAGTGTTTTGCTCTTCTTTCAGTGAAGAAATACTCTGTAATTCTGATAAAACTTGCTCGATAGCCACGCTAACGCTAGTTTCATCGGCTGAAGCCGCCATGTTCTTTAGACTGAGCTGTCGCGCTTCTCGTTGCGTCACACCTCAACCCGCCTCAAAGCCAACGCTGATTGGACGTTCCTTTGGTGAACGGCTCCAAATTTTCTTTAACAGAGAGTCTCCAGACTGATTAGCGAGTGAAACCTTGAAAGCTCGCGAGATCAGGATGGTCTCACGAGGCTACCGCTAATACTCCTAATGTCTCCGTCCATGTACGTCTTCTCCATCCTTCAGCATCAATATAAAGAGCTGAGCTACTTTTTGCTCCTTCCACTGGAAGCCTGACAGGTCATGATCTATAATTGCAATGGCACCAAACAGAGCAGAAGGCAAAGGAACAGACCGGGGCGGATTGGATACAGAGGATGTGTGATTTCGGTAGAGGGGATGATAAGGAAGGGACTTCTCATCTCAATCACAACGGTTCAGGTTGAACAAAGTTTGATGATTGGCAGAGAGCGCATCAGACTGGACGGGACTCCCGCTGGTTCTGAGTGACTGGGTTTAAATAGAATGGGATTTACTTTAGCTCTATTGCTAGAAATACATCTGTTGGAACGCAGCACTCCTGGATCATTGGCTCCTGTCTCTGGTGCGTACGAAACGCAAAGCTGAAACTATTAACCAATATTGACCAATTGTTGATGTCGGCCATAACAGGGCAGACGCAGGTTTTCAGAATAATAGTGGTTCCATGTGACTGTCTAATGGAAAAGCTGAACCACAGAGAACCAGTCTGACAGGGTGGAGCAGGAGCACAGATAGCAGGTCTGCTTGCAAATCCACCCAGCCAGATCACTAAAAGAACCAACTGTAAAACAGAACCCGATCCTATAGAAACTGCTGTCTTCAGGTGGATTACACAGTGCAGGAAGAAAGCCGTCTCACCGCAGAAGAACTCGGAGTTCATGGACTCTGGGGTCTTGAGGAAGGAGTAGGTCAGGAAGGCCCTGTGGTAGGCATTCATCTCATGGCTGTTCTTGTCTACTTCAGGGCAGCTGGGCAAATAGGACCCAAAGGTGGCCAAAGACATGAACTTCATCAGCTCTACATTAGGGATGTAGCCGAAGCTGCAGTCGTAGGAGTAAGCACCGCCGACCTGGAGAGGTAGAGGAGAATGACAGGATCAGTGTGAGCAGCAGGAACTAGACGAGTCTTATTCTCCTACATCTCTGCTTTTTCTCATAGTAGCTTCATCTGGTCTGTTCCTGTTTGGCTGTGACTCCATCCTGGAGAGAAATATCAGCTGTGCTGCTGCCATCAACACCTTTGTTGATTTCTATAGCTCCAATTCACAACGCAAGTCATCTCAACGCATGGTACAGTTCACCAGATCATCCAGTCAGATTGATTCAAAGTAAGAAAACCAGCTGATTGCATCGACTCATTGACTCTGCAGCAATCCCTCACACTAAGCATGCTTGCAGCGACAGTGGAGAGGAAAAACTCCCTTTGAACAGGAAGAAACCTCCAGCAGAACCAGGCTCAGTGTGAGTGGCCATCTGCTGAGGCCCACTGGGGTTCAAGGAGACAGAAGCAGACATAGAAAAAGAAGCATAGATACAAAAGGCAACTGTCAACCAGCTCCACAGGCGGCCCCGTCCAGGAAACACACAGCCAGGCAGACGAGCTCCGAGCCAGCTCCCATGTCAGAGGATGAAGAGAGCACATCCAGTTAGTCACAGTCAGAGAAACAGGACTACACTGGAAAACAGGCCAAGCTCCAACATCTAGAAACAAAGGTGTTGATGGCAGCAGCACAGCTGATATTTCTCTCCAGGATGGAGTCACAGCCAAACAGGAACAGACCAGATGAAGCTACTATGAGAAAAAGCAGAGAGAGCAGAACGTTAGAGATTGAACTAACAGATTCTGCAGAGTGGGAGAATAGAGATAGAATGAAGCAGAATGATGAAAAAGGGGTCCCTATGTCCTCCAGCAGTCTAAGCCTATAGCAGCAGAACTATAGAGATAGATCAGGATAACCTGAGCCACTCTAACTAGAAGCTTTATCAAAAAGGAAAGTTTTAAGCCTAGTCTTAAAAGTAGACAGGGTGTCTGCCTCACGGACTAAAACTGGTAGTTGGTTCCACAGGAGAGGAGCCTGAGAACTAAAAGATCTGCCTCCCATTCTACTTTTAGAAGTTCTAGGAACCACTGAAGTGAATAACAGGAGTTCCATCCACACGTTATTCATTTCAGCTTCTGCATACCTGCACAAAGGAACATGTGATGGTTCCACTCCTCAGCTGGTTCAGCAGCGTTTCGCACACGCCCACATCAGGAACGCTGGTCACACCGTCAGTGATGATGATGATGCCTAAAACACACAAGGTCCATCATGTCACCATGGAGACCGAGTCCTAAACTCCACACGGCTGCCTCTGCTTGAACCGTAAACTCCATTTAGCGTTAGCTGGTTAGCTGGTGTAATCAGAATAATGTGTGAAATTCAACAAATGAAAGTAAATAAGACTTTAGAAAAATGAAAAAATAAAAACATTTAAATAATCATTATGTTTTTAACAACAAAACTAAAGAAAAGTCTGAGTAACAATGAGTTTGTTGTTTCTGAGGAATCCGTGAAGATGTCATCAGTAACCATGGTGATGTGAATCAAAGCTCTGATTGGATGGGAAACAATAATCCAAACCCGGATCTTATCTGGGCTCCAGATCTAATCCACCGTGTTTTCTTCACAGCAGAAGCTTTCTGACCAACATCCCTCCCAGTCTATTCTGTTCAGCGGTGACCTCAGCTAAGGTCAAAGGGCGTGCGCAGGCACACCGAACCTTATCCGAGGAAGAGATGGTAGCCCCATGGTTTCTGGGCTTATATTCACGCAGGGCAAAGCAGAGACACCTCCTGGTGGAGGTTAGAGCTCTTATGAGAGGATGCTGACTGGATGGTTCTGTCAGTCTGCCCCAGGGCCAGCGCGGCTTCACCATGGAGCTAAATCGTCTCAATATTCACAAATACACGTATCTGATTCATACATGCACAGGACAAGATCCACCAAAGTGTTTCTGGTCAATAAATAATTATAAATTAAATAACATTAGCTAATCCCCAGATCCCACATCCTCTGCCCCGCCCCGCTCACATTCATCGTGCGGAGTACTAGTCTGTCATGTTAATGAATGAGAGCTGTTCCACATCCACCGTTACTCCAGGTCAAGATCCGTATATTGCAATCACACCAAACAGGAAAGAGAACAGCGAGAAGATCCGGTTTGACTAATTAAAGTATCCTAACAACCGATCGGTAACTACAAATTAGAGCTTAATTCTTGAATACATTCCCAAAAACTGAGAACCTTTAATTAAATGATTGGATGCAAACTATTGGTTCTTCAACGGACCAGGAAGCAGATTTCTCATCTCCATCTAAATATTTATTTTACACCGAGGGGCTTTAAAGTTTAACCAAATCCAGTCCTTCAAAGAGTGAATCTCACAACTTCAAAATAAACTTCTTAACGCAGGCATGGATGCAGAGAGAACAAACCAATTTTGTATGATTAGTCCTATTACAAAGACCCACAAAAAAATAATGTTTGGTCAGAAACGTGAGATTGATGCTGATGGTGAGGTTTAATCATGTCATATTAAATCAAGCATTCATTACTGCAGGTTTTCTTCCTATCAATTAAATAATAATAATATAGCGCATGCTCTCCAGGAGCTCTGAGGAATTCGGAGTGGAGCAGGACGGGAGGAACAGCGGAGGATGTAGGCTTTGCTTTGAGCTGGCGGTCTGGAGCGGGGCGGGGCCGATACAGAGAAGGAGGGAGCTGGGGGTAAATCATTCCACGTGGATTACTTTCTTGTGATTGGCTTGCAAAAGGGAGCTCTGTGATTGGTGGCAAATCATCCCTGTTAAAAAAAATTCAGTAATGTATCGAGGCATGTCAGGGCAGTCTAAAAAATCCACTTAATACGTTTAAAGACCACTGCTACTTTATAATTTAATTTATAATAGTTCAGGGTTCCTACAGCATAATGCAAGTTAAATTCAAGACTTTTTAAGGCTTTTTAATGCCACTTGAAATAAAAATTTAAGACCAAATTCACAAGAAACACAAGAAAAACCTGCTTGCAACAACTTACCCAAAGGTTTATTTTAACATAAACCACTGCACTAATGTTTCAAATTTTGAAAAAGCTTCCCATACAGGAAGAAAGCTAAAAACACACAAATGACAGATATATTTGAACAATTATTTAACTGAATTCACAAACTTTGTTTTAGCAGGGAACAAAACAAATCAGTTTTAAAGCCCCAACATAACCAGTGCTAAGTATTTTTTGCAGCTATTTTTCTTTGTATGGTTTTCTTAGTATGTTTGATTTGGTGATAAGTGGAGGCGTTGCAGAGACAAGGGTGGAACTAAACTGAGAAATACCGGCTGTTTCTCTCTAACTCCATTTTGACGCTTTGTGTTTCGTGCTTCGCATGTGCGACTCCACTGCCTTAATTCCCATCGTTCTGAGCTTGAATGACTTCTTGCACTAAATCCACTGAGCCTCATGTATGTTCCCTGGTTTTAGCCATGGAGAAAACTCTTGGCTGGAGACAATTATCGTTACATTTACACTTGCTCATATTTTCCATGGTGCATCTCCCAAATGTCCCCCCCGCAACAACAACGCTTTTATTGGTTCCGCTATCGGGACGGAACCAATAATGGCGAGCCATTTACAAAAAAAAATAAAATAAAAAAAATTGTCAATTTTATCGTTTTATTTAGATTATAAAAATAAATCGTAATAAAAATAATGCTATTTATGATGTTTTAAAAATTAAGACCTGCGAAAAACTGATTTAAGACATTTTAATACCAATTAAGGCCTTAGTTTTATTTTGAAGAATTCAATGCCTTTTAAGACTTTTCAAGGACCCGCAGGAATCCTGTAGTTGATGGACCAGAAATGCTTCGGTGAATCTTGTCTGTGCGTGTATGAATCACACAATCTAGCTCCATACTTCACCAGAGCTCACTACCATCAGTGTGGAGATGTAGCTTGAAGTTCAGAGCAGTTAGCATTCCATCAGCCTAGCAGAGGAGCAGGTGATGCTGATATACCTGCACTGGAGTTAGAAGGCAGCAGCTGGAGGGCCAGGATCCCTTGGCGAACCATGCTGACCAGCCCCATATCGGCAGACACCACCGACATCCCCTGATTCCTGGGGGGTTGGTCCTCCACACTGCTGCTCAGTCCCAGTCCTGGTTCCACCATCTGTTCAGAAATCATTCTGTCATGGTTCTGCAGCAGCAACATCTCTGATGGTGGGAGGGGTTTACATTTACATCTGATTATCCCAGGATTAACCAGGAGTAACCTCAGATTAACTCAGGAGAAACCCATCAGTAGTTTACGTTTAATCAAGAAGTAACCCAGGTAAAACCCAAAACTTACCCAAAGGAAACCATGGGATAACCAAGCAGTAACCCAGGGGTAACCCAGGTTAACCACATAATAACCCAGGTTAACCAAAGATTAACCCAGGTTAACCACATAATAACCCAGGTTAACCAAAGATTAACCCAGGTTAACCACATAATAACCCAGGTTAACCAGGGAATAACCCAGTGTAACCAGGGTTTAACCCAGTTTAACCAGCTATTAACCCAGGTTAACCGCATAATAACCCAGGTTAACCAAAGATCAACCCAGGTTAACCACATAATAACCCAGGTTAACCAGGGATTAACCCAGTGTAACCAGGGTTTAACCCATTTTAACCAGCTATTAACCTAGGGTAACCACATATTAACCCAGGTTAACCAGGGATTAACTCAGTGTAACCAAAGATTAACCCAAGTTAACCAGGGATTAACCCAGGTTAACCAGGGATTAACTCAGTGTAGCCAAGGATTAACCCAGTTTAACCAGCTATTAACCTAGGGTAACCACATATTAACCCAGGTTAACCAGGGATTAACTCAGTGTAACCAAAGATTAACCCAGGTTAACCAGGGATTAACCCATGTTAACCAGGGATTAACTCAGTGTAACCAAAGATTAACCCAGGTTAACCAGGGATTAACCCATGTTAACCAGGGATTAACTCAGTGTAACCAAGGATTAACCCAGGTTGACCAGGGAGTAACTCAGGTTAACCAGGGATTAAGACAGGTTAACCAGGGATTAAACCAGGTTAACCAAAGATTAACTAAGGTTAACCAGGGATTAACCCAGGTTGACCATGCATTAACCCAGGTTAACAAGGGATTAACCCAGGTTAAGCAGGGATTAACTCAGTGTAACCAAGGATTAACCAAGTTTAACCAGCTATTAACCTAGGTGAACCAGGGATTAACCCAGATTGACCACATATTAACCCAGGTTAACCAAGGATTAACACAGGTTAACTAAGGATTAACCCAGGGTAACTAGGAGCAACAAAGAAGTAAGCGTGACCTGTTGCCGTTGCTGATGCAGAACCTTTGCCGTGTTGCTCTCCAGATTTCTGAGCTGTTGGTAGATCTGAAGAACGAACTCCTTCAGATTGGTTTTATCGAGCTGACAGCCCTGCACCAGAACCTGCGGGACAAACCATCCAAGAAAGTCTGCTGGTTGAGGTTAACACCACAGCACCGTTTCTCAGATGTTCTCAGAGATGGCTGACTTTAGCCGAGCTGGCTCTGGAGGACTGGAAAACAGAAGAAAATCTTACCTGGGGTGAAGTGAGACCAATAATTGAGGAATAAACCAGAATGGTGATAAAGATTTTGGGCCTGAAAAGCTGATCTGTTCCAGGAACTTTGAAGGGTTGAGCCAGCCCAGCCAGGCACTTGGACAAGGCGTGAAAGACTTCATCAAAGATCATCTCTCCTGTGCTGTCGTCCTGCAGTGGGAAAACCAGACAAGTCAACCCAAACACAGATCAGCCGCCATGCTGGCCCAATCAGACCAACCAGGTCCAGACTATAAAGCTCTTTGTTCGACAGAGAATCCTCATCAACTACATCAATACCTGCTTTCTTTTCTCCCTGGTGACAAAAACATCCTTCAGAACACATCACATGGTAGTTTCTACCTCCCATGCCTTAAAGTTTCACTGTTGGGCTGAATTTAGACGCCTTCCCCTGAGCCAAATTCAATGTCTCAGGGTTGATTCCTGTAGAGGCTCATCATCCAAGCCAGTTCTGATCACTGCTGTTATGATACGGAGGCTGAATCCACGCTCTGCCGCACAGCAGACAGGAATTACAAACTCCACCTCAGTCAGCTTTAAAATCTGGGCAAAGTTAACCCAAGGAGGTGACCTGGAGTCTTCAAGATGAGTGGAGAGAAGAGATCAGTTCATTATAACCAGTGGCGCCACTAGGGGGTGGCCACTGGCCCCCCTAGCAATGCCCTGGCCACCTCACTGGCCAACTTACTGGCCAGGGTAAATTGTAATAGCATCAGTTTAGCATTTCATCCCATTCTGCACAACTAGCAACGTAACATTAACACCTTGAACCCACTGGATCCCAAACCAACGTGTCCCAGTGACCTGCACCCGACCAGAACAGAGAGTCAAACCCCCCAGCCCAGTGATTACAGCCAGCCACACGTTGGAGGATGGACAGCAGGTCTGACAGTGTCTCTGGATTAGGTTCCTGTATCGCAGCTTGTGGAGCAGACGTCCACATCTGGCTGAGTAAAGCCGGGCATGTACTGAATGTTTTTTTTTTTGCTGTTTTTGGGCCGATTCTCAAGGCGTGAGAGAATTTGATCAATCAGGCCGAGTTTTAGCCTCATTGTGCGTTCTGCGGCGTGTAGCATACAGGCGGTAAAGAGGGGCGATCAGCCTCTCACGACCACCTCCCCATCAGGAATCGTAAGGTCAGGAGAAAATCAAACATCTTTTAAATTCAGTCGGCCTTAGTGAGGTGTTGGTGGGTAAATCCTGCTGTTGAAGCAGAGCTACGAGCCTGTTGTGGAGGAAGGTTCACAAGCTATTTGGTTGTGGCCGGTTTGTGGGAAGCATCTAGCTAACCAGTTAGCAACTTAGTGCTAGCAGGTTCCCAATGGGAAATTCCATTGGGACCAAGTAGCACTAAATTGGTGCCTTAGAAACGACGCTGTCAAGGAACGCTATGGACAGCGGAAACATGCAAGAGGAGGAGAGTTTAGTGTCGGAGGTCGTGGATGAGTCTCCTCTGTCATCCATTTTTTACTTAGAGGAGGAAAGCGGGGACGAAGATGTTGTGGAAGAGGACGCCAGGGCGGCAGAAGCTTGGTTTGGTGTAGAAGGCTTCCAGCCGTTCATGTTTGAGCCCTTGCCTCGCAACGCTGCCAGTTCTGTTAGCTCTACGCCTGCCGAAGACACAGACGTCCATCCCCGTGCACTGGGACGCAACTCAATGGGAAAGGAAAGGATTCTGGTTTCAACCGTTGCGTATATTAGCTGCGACACATGAATCAAGATGCTATGACCGAAAAAATTTGATTGACAGATGACCGTTGATATATGGTTGGCCGAATTTAGGTGTTCAGGCTGACGTAGAACTAACTGGCCTGCAGAAGATAACGGAAAAAAACACAGATTTTAAGACAGGATTTTTTTTAAAATAGAAATGTTCTAATTTTTGAGACAATATCATCTGATAAAGAGAACATTTATATACATGTTTAAGCCAAAATGATTTGACATTTAAATATGATTTCCCTATGACTTTAAAAATGCGGTTTTGTCATACAGTTTGAGTTTCTGCATGTAACTAGGGGTGAGTATTGGCGTGTGTGATGCGATACGATACATGTCACGATACTTGGACCTCAAAGTGATATTATCACGATATTGCAATATCACTTTATGTTGCGATATTTTAACCAGTTATCAAAATAAAATATATAGACAAAAACGTCGCCGTCCATAGACAAAAAAACAACATCAGAATCCATGTTGTTTGTGGTTTGAGTCAGTCCGCTGCTTCTACTGTGGCCGCCTCAACTATGCTGCGGCGCACAGCAAAAGGTCTCCACCACCCCAGGGTGGGCGTGCAGAGAGCCCATTTTCACTCATTGTTTTAGAAAAAAAATGTTGTTTTTTATAAAATCGATATTAGGAATTGAAAGATCAATAGTGAAAAATCACGACATATCGTCAAACTGATTTTTTCCCACACCCCTACGTGTAACAGTTGAAAATATCATACAGTGTATGCCCGGCTTAAGAAGGCACAGGCTATGAATGTGGGCTGGGGGTCATTGGTGCTGGGATCCAGATTGAGGAGGTGTCTCCAACCTGGACAGAGTGATAAAGGAGGGATTCCGTTCTTTTTCTCCAAAACCAAGTCTCCATTGATTGAGTTCATTATGAACCTGTCAGTTTATCCCAACTCCATGAAGCCGGTCTGACGCCTCGAGGCACGTCTGGACCGTTCGGCCTGTTCATCTGGTCTGGACCCTCATGAAGGTCCATGCAGTTCAGGTTTCACATATCAGTGGGTCTGCAACCTGTGGCTCCAGAGCCACATGTGGCTCTTTGGACCCTCTGCTGCGGCTCTTAAAGTGGCTAAAATGTATATAAAGACCTAAATAATGTACTACTAAATAAATACCAGTCTTAAAAGCTTTAGTGTTTTTTATAAGATGGATAAGAAGGACATAAAAAAAAAACAGAAATATGTTTTTAGAGTCGCTTCCTTTTAATTAGCTTGGAATTTATGTGTTTTAATATTATTTTAAAAGATAAAATACATACACTGTTGGTTGTTTAAGATGGCAACTAATTTCCTATACTAGAAAATAAAAAACAACCAAATTGTTTTTCTAAAACGTCATCTACTTTGCGGCTCTAAATAACTTTGACTTGGTCGGACTCGGAGCAAAACGGCTCTTTGGCTATAAAGGGTTGCGGACCCCTGGAGCAGAGCCATGCTCAGCCATAATAACCTCTCAGAGGTTTCATTTCGTCTCCTGAACACGGATCCAGGTCTTACCACAATCCCTGTGGAAGGGCTGAGGTCCAGCTCTATGATGAAGCGGTACCGGCGGGCCAGAAAGGTTGCCCGGGTGGACGGCATCAACGTGCAGGGGTCTGTGGTGGGGGGGGATTCTGGCTGCCATCCCTTGGGATGGACAGCTATCAGGTCCAGCTCATTCTCAGAGGTTTGCTGTGGAAAGAATCAGACATTATTGGAAAGACAGAGATTTAAATCAATCGTTATTCGTAACTCTTGACTTCGGTTTAATGCAGAGGTCACGGATTAGCGGACCGCGGTCCGGTGTTATGCTGAAAAGTGCATCCCAGCTGAAATAGGCCTCCCCAGACGATTAAATATTGCTCTCGTGGGCAATAAATTGTGCTTATTTGGCAGATCAATTTACAAAAGTACGGGTGTTATGAACAACATTAACTCCAAAGACTTTAACCGAGGTACGGCTGATTTATTTGTTCTAATCTCATGTTTTTCACACACAACAATAAACAGTGAAGCTGACGAGAGTTTGGAAACTGCAAAGCTTTGCCTTCAGCAGAAAATCAAACACGCATCTAAACAGACCAGTGTGATGCATTCACGAGCGTCACATAGCTATGGTGCATTCAGGAGCATGGGAAATTCCACACTTACAAGGAAAGAGACAAAAAGGGATCAGAACTTAACTCATACAATAATGGATTTATTCAGAAACATTGTGGGCTTTCTTATAATACTGACTGCTCTAGAATTGTATTTCTGTTATTTTTTGATTATGCACATCTGCTAGATTTTTATTCTGAAAAAATCTATAATATTACAGCAGCAAATTATCAAAGTTTTTCAAAAGCCTGTTTAAAAGCTTTAAATGAGGCTTCAGATTATACAGCAACAATTGTCATTGTGTAACAGGCAGAAGTAGCGTTTGCTGACCTTTGACCTTTAACTACTGATGGATATACAGGAATACAATTTCAACTCCTCTGAGATAGAACCGGATGCAATTTTTGGCAATTTCTATTTATATTATCTAAAAATTCAATGTATAATATAAATGCATAAATACCTCATTTTATTTCAGTGTTAAATTCTGTTTAAAGTAACAGATCATTAAAAATGTCTCCAGACCTTTACTGGTTGATGATTTTCTTTATTCGGACCCGCTGATTTTTTTATTGGTTACCCCTGGTTTAATGTTTCGAAATCTTTATTTCCCGTCATGTGCTCCATCCAATGCAGATCATTGGCTCCGCCCACATCTAGTGAAAACTAGTGTCACTGGATGAGTCATAGAACGCAAACACTCATTGGTTAGCTAAAGGAAATCATCAGAAGCAAGCAGGTGTTCTTCAAACTGCTAACGTGAACTTTTACCAAAGTGATTTTATACTGCAGTATCTATACTTCTACTTAAGTAACAAATGTGTGAATTTTTGACCCATTGTCCTCAGTATGGAACCTGTCCAGCCAGAGGGACGGGTTGGACACGCAGCATGTTTTGGTTTGCTGAAATGTGTGCCAATCAGAGCATCTGGGTTCTAGGCCACTGGTCCAGCTTACCAGTTCAGACGGAGAGGCCGGCCTGATGCTTTGATTCAGCTTGCTGAGGAACCAGGCCAGACGCACATTCCTGGAGATGCGGTAGTCCTCCTTCATGAGCAGGTAGATCTGGTCGGCCTCCTCCACCTGTTGGAGGGAAACAGAACATGTCTCATCTAGTAAACATGACAGAGGCATATGTAGTACATATTTCAGATTTATAAAGCGCTCTGAGGATCAGGGTCAACAGTCTTCCTTTGGAGAGCCCAGATGTTTGGCTCCAAGGCCCCACCTCTTGCTCCGCCGTTTACGCACCGGCATCTAGACATCCATATCCATCCATATCCATCCATATCATCCATATCATCCATATCCATCCATATCATCCATATCATCCATATCCATCCATATCATCCATATCATCCATATCCATCCATATCCATCCATATCCATCCATATCATCCATATCCATCCATATCATCCATATCATCCATATCATCCATATCCATCCATATCCATCCATATCATCCATATCATCCATATCCATCCATATCATCCATATCCATCCATATCCATCCATATCATCCATATCATCCATATCATCCATATCCATCCATATCCATCCATATCCATCCATATCCATCCATATCATCCATATCCATCCATATCCATCCATATCCATCCATATCATCCATATCATCCATATCCATCCATATCCATCCATATCATCCATATCCATCCATATCATCCATATCCATCCATATCCATCCATATCCATCCATATCCATCCATATCCATCCATATCATCCATATCCATCCATATCATCCATATCCATCCATATCCATCCATATCATCCATATCCATCCATATCCATCCATATCCATCCATATCATCCATATCCATCCATATCCATCCATATCCATCCATATCATCCATATCCATCCATATCATCCATATCCATCCATATCCATCCATATCATCCATATCATCCATATCATCCATATCATCCATATCCATCCATATCATCCATATCCATCCATATCATCCATATCATCCATATCATCCATATCCATCCATATCATCCATATCATCCATATCCATCCATATCATCCATATCCATCCATATCATCCATATCCATCCATATCATCCATATCCATCCATATCATCCATATCATCCATATCCATCCATATCCATCCATATCATCCATATCCATCCATATCATCCATATCATCCATATCCATCCATATCATCCATATCATCCATATCATCCATATCCATCCATATCATCCATATCATCCATATCCATCCATATCATCCATATCATCCATATCCATCCATATCATCCATATCCATCCATATCATCCATATCATCCATATCCATCCATATCCATCCATATCATCCATATCCATCCATATCCATCCATATCATCCATATCATCCATATCCATCCATATCCATCCATATCCATCCATATCATCCATATCATCCATATCCATCCATATCATCCATATCCATCCATATCCATCCATATCATCCATATCCATCCATATCCATCCATATCATCCATATCCATCCATATCATCCATATCCATCCATATCATCCATATCATCCATATCCATCCATATCCATCCATATCATCCATATCATCCATATCATCCATATCATCCATATCCATCCATATCATCCATATCCATCCATATCCATCCATATCCATCCATATCCATCCATATCATCCATATCCATCCATATCCATCCATATCATCCATATCCATCCATATCATCCATATCATCCATATCATCCATATCCATCCATATCCATCCATATCCATCCATATCATCCATATCAATTTCCCAAACATCCATAACCATCCATATCAACCATATCCATCCATATCCCTCCATATCCCCTCCAAATCAAAAAATAACCATCCCCTATCATCCATATCAAACCAAAAACCATCCATTAAACAACCTTTAACCATTCCCCTATCCCAAACCATAACATTTTCCCTATCCATCCATAACATCCATATCAACCATATCCATCCAATCATCCATATCCATCCATATCCATCCATAACATCCCTATTCCCTCCATAACCATCCCAAAAACCATCCAAATCCATCCATAAACATCCAAAATCATCCATATCATCCCTATCATTCCCCAAAACCATCCCCTACATCCAATTTCCCTCCTATCCATCCATAACCATTCCCTATCCATCCTATCATCCATAACATCCTATCCATCCAATCCAACCATATCAACCTATTTCCCTCCATATCATCCATATCCATCCATATCATCCAGTTTCCCTCCATATCCACCCATATTTTCCCTCCCCTATCATCCATATCCTCCATATCATCAATATTTAATTCATTTATTCATTATTATCATTATTCTTCATCATTATCTTCTTTCATTCATATCATTTCATTCACTCACATATTATCATTAATTTTTAAATCATCATTCTTTCATTATTCATTAATATTCATTCTTTCATTCATATTCATCATTATTATTTCATATTTTTATTCATTCTCTTTTCATTACATTCATTCTCATATTCCATATTATCATTAATTCATCTTCTTATTCATCATTTCTTTATATTATCATCATTATATTCATCTTTCCCATTCAAAAATTCATCAATTATTCATCATTTATTCTTAATTCATTCATCATTCATTCATTCTTCATTCCATCTTTTCATATTCATTATTCATATCATTTCATTCATTTAATCATTCATTAATTATCATTCTTTTTCATTCATTCATTAATTATTACATTCATCATTTTTCATTTATTATTCATTCATTCATTAATTTCATTCATTAATTATTATTTTCATTTATTCATTCATTATCATAATTCAATCATTCATTCATTCATTCATCATCATTCATCATTCATTATATCTTTCACCCCCCCCCCCCCCCCCCCCCCCCCCCCCCCCCCCCCCCCCCCCCCCCCCCCCCCCCCCCAAAAAAAAAAAAAAAAAAAAAAAAAAAAAAAAAAAAAAAAAAAAAAAAAAAAAAAAAAAAAAAAAAAAAAAAAAAAAAAAAAAAAATCATTTTCATTCTTTATATCATTAATTAAATCATTCATTCATCATTCATCATTTAATCATCATCCAATCATTCATTCATCATTTTTATTTCATCACCCATCATTATCATTATTCTAATTAAATCATCAATTCATCATTCATATCCTTTTCCATTCATTCATCATTCATATCATTTATTTCATTTTTCTTCAATAATTATTATTAATATACATTCATCATTCATAATAATTATCTCATTCTTCATTCATTCATTCATTCATTCATTCATTCATTCATTCATTCATTCATCATTCATTCATTCATTCATTCATCATTCATTCATCATTCATTCATTCATTCATTCATCATTCATTCATTCATTCATTCATCATTCATTCATTCATCATTCATTCATTCATTCATTCATTCATTCATTCATTCATTCATCATTCATTCATCATCATTCATTCATTCATCATTCATTCATTCATTCATCATTCATTCATTCATTCATTCATTCATTCATCATTCATTCATTCATCATTCATTCATTCATTCATCATTCATTCATTCATTCATCATTCATTCATTCATTCATTCATTCATTCATTCATTCATTCATTCATTCATCATTCATTCATTCATCATTCATTCATTCATTCATTCATTCATCATTCATTCATTCATTCATTCATTCATTCATTCATCATTCATTCATTCATTCATTCATTCATTCATCATTCATTCATTCATTCATTCATTCATTCATCATTCATTCATTCATTCATCATTCATTCATTCATTCATTCATTCATCATTCATTCATCATTCATTCATTCATTCATCATTCATTCATTCATTCATTCATCATTCATTCATTCATTCATTCATTCATTCATTCATTCATCATTCATTCATCATTCATTCATCATTCATTCATCATTCATTCATCATTCATCATTCATTCATTCATTCATTCATTCATTCATTCATTCATTCATTCATTCATTCATCATTCATTCATCATTCATTCATTCATTCATCATTCATTCATTCATCATTCATTCATTCATTCATCATTCATTCATCATTCATTCATTCATCATTCATTCATTCATTCATCATTCATCATTCATTCATTCATTCATCATTCATTCATTCATTCATTCATTCATTCATCATTCATTCATTCATTCATCATTCATCCATTCATCATTCATTCATTCATCATTCATTCATTCATCATTCATTCATTCATCATCATCATTCATTCATCATTCATTCATCATTCATTCATTCATTCATTCATTCATCATTCATTCATTCATTCATTCATTCATTCATTCATTCATCATTCATTCATTCATTCATTCATCATTCATTCATTCATCATTCATTCATTCATTCATTCATTCATTCATCATTCATTCATCATTCATTCATTCATCATTCATTCATTCATTCATTCATTCATTCATCATTCATTCATTCATCATTCATCATTCATTCATTCATCATTCATTCATTCATCATTCATTCATTCATTCATTCATTCATTCATTCATCATTCATTCATTCATTCATTCATTCATCATTCATTCATTCATTCATCATTCATTCATTCATTCATTCATTCATTCATTCATTCATCATTCATCATTCATTCATTCATTCATTCATCATTCATTCATTCATCATTCATTCATTCATTCATTCATTCATTCATTCATCATTCATTCATCATTCATTCATTCATTCATTCATTCATCATTCATTCATTCATTCATTCATCATTCATTCATTCATTCATTCATCATTCATTCATTCATTCATTCATCATTCATTCATTCATTCATCATTCATTCATTCATTCATTCATTCATCATTCATTCATTCATCATTCATTCATTCATTCATTCATTCATTCATTCATTCATTCATTCATTCATTCATTCATTCATTCATTCATCATTCATTCATCATTCATTCATTCATTCATTCATTCATCATTCATCATTCATTCATTCATTCATCATTCATTCATCATTCATCATTCATTCATTCATCATTCATTCATTCATCATTCATTCATCATTCATTCATCATTCATTCATTCATTCATTCATTCATCATTCATCATTCATTCATTCATCATTCATTCATTCATTCATTCATTCATTCATTCATCATTCATTCATTCATTCATTCATTCATCATTCATTCATTCATCATCATTCATTCATTCATTCATT